ATATTCTTACTGGGATTAAGACACACTTCATATACTATATATGTAGTACATGGGTCAGATTTATAATCCAAGTTACGTACACTTTATGCTAAAAGTATTTGCATTCCAAGGAAACTGAAGTACTCTGGCAATACAATATTTATGCATATATATTTCTAAAAAAATTCTTAGCCTGCATAATTTGAATCGTCTTCTTTCAATTCAAAGAAGCTGCAGTGGTGCTGAGGGAGAAACTAAATGGACACCAGGCAAAGAAATGAGTACTAGGAGCAATTTTCAGCATCTTTCATGTCTGTTATAGAAATGCTAATTTCTTTCATTGTAGCCATGAGGCCTAGAAACTTAATAATTTAAGTAGCTCATCCATGCACTTAGCAATTACAGTGGAATCCAGAATGATTTCATATAAGAATTTCTCAAGTACCAGTTAATAGAAGTGTTTCTCTCTCTTTCTCTCCATCTTCCCCTCCCTCCCTCCTTCCCTCCGTCCCTCTCTCTCTCTTTCTCTCTCTCCTATTTCCCTTTGATCAATATTTATGTAAAATTCAAAATATTTTTGGCTATTTTCTGCAACACTGTTGTAGTAGATCAAAGAGCTGCCAACCAAGAGTTATTCAGGGGTTACAGGATCACTCCAGTAAATGTCCCATCTGTTCACCTTGTTCCCAGCCAAAAAAAATTGCTGCAAACGACCGGGGAATAAAAAGGCACCAGCCTTCCCTCTTGCAGAGAACATATTATTAGCACACCACTAGGCAGCTCCCAAAATTGTCAGGAAACAAAAATGCTTCATACCTTTTTGTTGATTTAGCTATAGCTTTTCCGTTGGGCTTGGTAATATCTCACTTAGCAACCTCAGCAAATCTGATCAGACTTCATAGGTAGCCCAATTATGAATGCAGCATTGAAACTGCAAAATGCCATGGGAAATGCCTCAGTGCAATTATACAAGGTAAAGTGTTAATCCAAGATAGAATGATAGCTGCTGGGTAAAAATAAGTTCTGCCTGAAAACCCTTGATGGTAAGTGGATAAAATGTGCAACCTGGAAGCCATGTCAGTCAAAAGAAGTGATAGCAGAGAAAACTTCTGTTTGGAATTCCAGTGCATTCCATCCTCTCATGGTTTCCCATTGTCCCCATAAGTCAGTCACTATTCTACAGCCAATGGCCTCTCTTTGTGTATTGATCTATTTATATTTATTGATTTATATCCTGCCTTTATTATTTTTATAAACAACCCAAAGCAGTCAACATAACTACCGGTAATACACTTTCCTTGTTCTATTTTCCCCACAACAACAACAACCCTGGGAAGTGAGTTGAAATGAGAGAGAATGACTGGCTCGAAGTCATGAAGTTGGCTTTTATGTCTAAAGTGGGCCTAGAACTCACAGTCTCCTAGTTTCTAACCTGGTGCCTTAACCACTAGACCAGGCTGTCTTCTTAACTTACATTAGGTTGCCTTGATTTCCCCCTCCACAGCCTTTCTGTCCTTCTACAGATGTTGCAGTTGCCCCATGCCTGCTAATGGCCCTTGCTCGGACATAAGCTGTTCCATTTTGATATGTAAGTGATAGGACTTGCAACTTGTACATTATCAGGTGATGATCTACTGGAAACAGTTTAAACTGAGTTCTTGGTTAGATGTAATATTCCAGACCAATAATTAAACTTATATTGTGTATCTGATTCACAAACTTAAAACCTCCTTTAAACATAAATAGAAAACGATTCATTGTATTATAAGAAACGATTCAAGTAATTCAAGTATCATAAGCAATGGATATGCAACCAACCCTTTCTGATTTTTGGAATCTTTAAATTTAGGTAGTTGTTATTTTAAATAACTTTTGGATGAATTATTCGGGGAACTAAATCATGATCAGTCACTCTGTCTTAGTTAAACCCACCTCATAGGATTGTTGTTCTGGGGAAGATAGGAGAAGGAAGGAATATTAGATAGGTTCACCCCCTTCAGTTATTTATAAAAACACTAAAAGTGAAATAGAAATAATTGGTAGTTGCCTTTGCTTAAGAACTAGAATAAAAGCTTTGTTGCGTAGCAAATTCAAAAGACTTTGAATAGGAAAGAATAAATAATTTGTGTAACGCTTATCAATCAGTACTGCTCCTGTTATGTATTTTTTTTTTATTTATTTATACTCCATTTTTCTTGAGGACTTCAAGAGGGATACATAGCTTCCCTTTTCCAAATTTCCTTGCATAACAACAATGCTTGAGGGAAGCTGGGCTGAAAAATCTCAAGAATGAAGTTGAATCCAGGTTTTCCGATATGTTCTCCTACTTTCACCACATAGCCTCTTTTTTTATGAATAGAGGCTCTCTGAGAACTGCGTTCTGAAGTTAGACTAGATCAGCGTTTCTTAACCTTGGCAAGATGTGCAGGCTTCTTGCTCATGCTAGCTGGAAAATTCCGGGAGCTGAAATCCACACTTCTTAAAGTTGCCATGGTTGAGAAAACACTGGATTAGAGGCATTTCAAGTACTGCTTTGGACCTTCTACAGAAAGAAGGTCCAAAGCAGCATACTTCCATTGCTTTTCTCATCTCCATGCAAAAGTAGTCCTTCCTGGCCTAAACGAACTCATGATCGGATCTGTCCGAGTTTAGGCAGTGTAACTAGTATTACGAGATAAACCCAGGAGCAAAACACAGCACACAGAGCCTTTAGATATAACAGTGGTTTATATACAACTAAATATTGGAATGATTTGCCCACCGAGCTCAGGATAGCCCCGGACCTCCTCTCCTTTCGTCGCGAACTGAAGATGTGGCTCTTCCGTCAAATAACTTGATCTGCTAGGGGTTGCACAAACTGTAATAATTTTAAATATGGTTTTTAAGGGATTTTTAACTTATTTTGTGATTTGTATTATTGATTGTTGTTATAAGCCGCCCTGAGTTCTTCGGGAGAATGGCGGCATATAAATCGCAAAAATAAATAAATAAATAAATAAATTTACAGACTTCTACATGGTTAAATATCTTATACAGCGACTGACACATAGGTAGCTTCTGCCCAGCTTCTTAAAGTGGCAGTAACCCTGCTGCCTCATTCCCATTGCATCAGCTTTCAGTTGCCTCCACTTATAACCTTCCATAAGCTTACAGCTTACATACCCTGGCATCATCTGTAAAAAGCAGATTCTTGTTTCTCTATGTCATGCCATTCACCCATTCCATATGTTCCACTCCTACTGTTGTATGTTATTAGGTGATGTGAAATATGAGTGTGGAAACCTGGCATCAAACAACAAAAATCTAAGCAGAGAGGGAGTCCTGCTCATTCTGCAAGGGTTCTGTAAATCAGAGATCATGCTAAATCTGATGCTGGAGACAACTTGGGAGACAAGGGTTGACATTTGTGTCAAAATGTCAACAACAACAAAGAGTACAATTCTCTGGTTAATTTTAAAAAAAAAATGCATTATCAACATGCTCCAAAAGGTGGGGAAACAGGATTGGATTGGATTGAATAACAAAAAACAAAAAACAAACCAAGGCATTTATGTATGCTTTGTTTTCTGAGTTTTATTCTGACTGCAAAGATTTAGATCTCTGCTGCAACCACCAACATTTACCCAGAGTTACTGCAGAAAAAATATATCTGCAATTCTCAGTAAAATGTCCTATGTCAATAGCAGAATACTTTGAAATTGAAGTATAGATTGGCAGGGGGAAAAAAGAGAAAGGAAGGGGGAAGTAAAATGTGATGACATCATCATTTAGGTAAATTCTTCCGGCAGAATGCAATGGGAAGAAAATGAGATCTCTTGTTGAAATCTGAGCAACCTTAGCAAATTTTATATTATGTCTATTTTGATTCTGGGATTTATTATTTTGTTATTATTGCAAACAATCAAAAATATTGTTAAAGGGTGGGAGTGAGGGATAAAAAAAGATTCAGCATTTCTTCTCAAACAAAACAATATAGCAGGCTTGTAAAAAGACAGATTCTGAAACTAATAGGAGTTGCATCTAAGAGACCACATGTAACTCATACTGACACAGCAGTAACTGCATTTCTGTGGAATAGTGTTTAAAGATGAAGTGTGCTTGTCATTGCACTTGTTGAATCTTGTCTCAAAGAATAAAACCATGATAAGACTCATACAATTAAACTTCTTACGAATACTCAGATGTATTCTAATATCTGAAGGGCCTAATAATGCAGCTTTCGAAAACCAATAGGAGGTTGAATTCCCCCCGCCCCCAAAGGAGTAATTATCCCACTGAGACAAAACTCTTAACAGCAGAGCATTATACATGTATATATGTGGCATCTTAGAGATGTAATTAAACAATAACATTTCCACGCAGAAAGTCCCTGGTTCTAAACCTAGCATAAAAGCTGTGGTGGCGCAGTGGTTAGAATGCAGTACTGCAGGCTATTTCTGCTGACTTCTGGTTGCCTGCAATTTGGCAGTTCAAATCTCACCAAGCTCAAAGTTGACTCAGCCTTCCATCCTTCTGAAGTCGGTAAAATGAAGATCCAGATTGTTGGGGACAATATACTGACTCTGTAAACCACTTAGAGAGGGCTGTAAAGCACTATGAAGAGGTATATAAGTCTAAGTGCTATTGCTATCTCATGACACAGAACTAGAAATATCTGCTTCTCAAAGTCCTAGGGGAACCAATGAAACAGTATGTCCTGCTGTAAGCCAAGTTTCTATGTTACTGATGAGGAGAATTTGTTTCCTTTATCCAGTGTCCACCAAAATTAAGGCATAGAATTTTGATATATATCAGGAGGCACAAGCATTGCATGCAAATAGTCTTATTCCAGTCTGGTTAAACATTTGGGCACCAAATGATGAGAAAGATCTCTATCTATGTCTCTGGAGAGCTCTTAGTAATCAAATTAGATGATGCTAGTCTGTACAATAGAAAGAAGTAGAATGATTTTGCAGAACATGTGGGAGCTTAAATTAAATAGAAAACAAACAATTTAACTTTATGATCTTTCATCTTTTCAGTATGCCACCACAGGCTGTTCCCTGACACTCCATCATACAGAAAAGCCAGATCATGAAGACATTTGTGAGTATCGCCCTTACTCCTGCCCATGTCCAGGAGCATCATGCAAATGGCAGGGTTCCTTGGAAGCTGTGATGTCTCATTTAATGCATGCTCACAAGAGTATTACGACTCTTCAAGGAGAAGACATTGTCTTCCTCGCCACAGACATTAACTTGCCGGGAGCCGTTGATTGGGTGATGATGCAGTCATGCTTCGGCCATCACTTCATGCTGGTTCTGGAGAAACAGGAGAAGTATGAGGGCCATCAACAGTTCTTTGCCATAGTCTTACTCATTGGCACTCGCAAACAAGCAGAGAACTTTGCATACAGGCTCGAACTGAATGGCAACAGACGGAGGCTGACATGGGAAGCAACACCACGCTCCATCCATGATGGGGTGGCAGCAGCTATCATGAACAGTGACTGTCTTGTGTTTGACACTGCCATAGCACATCTATTTGCAGATAATGGGAACCTTGGAATCAATGTGACTATTTCTACATGTTGTCCGTGATTTTTTGTGTAACTTGTGAAACCATGTGGTTTCTCTGGGCATAGTGCTTTCATGTTTTGCTGAGTCATTTTTTTAAAAAAAAATTGGTATTCAACTGTTGCCCTGTCTTTTCCTTCTCATGCAGATCATAAGTACATGAGGAAGAGCAGGAATTTGCCACCAGTGCCATCACAAACCTGTCATTCACTTTGGAGTGATGTATCTGTAGTGTAATCTATATATGTACACTCCTTCCATTGTATGAAATACTGCACAAATGTTAATCACTGGGTGGCAATACGCCCACATAGGGAGTGTATCTTCATACGTAATACAAGTCTTACCCTGACATTTTAATAAACTATATTCATTGGGAATTTTAAAATAAGATTTATCAGAATAGTTACTAAAGCAAAATCAATGCCCTTTTAATCCAAAAGGAAAGATATATATTTTTAAGAATTTCACTGGCGTTTTTTAGAGGGAGAAACAATGTCATCATCTTAAAAACAAAGCTTTTTTAAAACATAGGGAATAAAAGAGATGGGACATCCATCACAGGTAAATCTTCAATGCCTAAAGAGTCCATGCACAAGTTTCGAAAAATGAGGTGCTTAAATAGACTACAGCACTTCTGGTGACACGCAGGGAACACCATATTTAAACAATTCCATACAACAAAAACATGGTACAGCAAAAATGATGTCACTAAATTACAGCTTCCCTCCTATAAGGATGTGCTACTTGAGGGATATTTTTTTTACTGTGAGGGAATTTTTTAAAATGTGATCATTTACCCACAATATGGAATCTATTTCTACAATCTCAGTACTTCGATGGTTCGCTATATTTCATCTCCAGGAAGGAGCAGTATACTGCTTCAAGCAACTGATAAAGCCCTTGACCATCTTTGTAACAAAATATTAAAAGGAAAGAGTAAATAAACAGAATGTGACAGTGTTGGAATTGCTTTATTTTTAAGCTTTTAACACACAGGAATTTGTGGATATTTTACATTTTACACAGTAATGCACACAGGAGAAAAAGTTTACTTTATCCAGTGAGTTTTCTTAGCTTTTTTTTCTGGCTGATGAATTGGTTGAGTTTTTATCTTTTTTAAAAAATGAATGTTTTCTATTAGGAATGAAGACTTGAATATCTGCACAGTGGGCCACTTCATCCACTCATCTCTCTATTTCTTTAAGAGTTGAAGAGACTCTTTGTCAGAGCTGCTTACCTAAGGGGTTGTAAAACACACACACACACACACACACACACACACACAAACACTCAAACATGGCATACTTCACATACACATTAATAATTCTAAAAAGTGATCTAGAATAACATAAGGGAAATTGATATGAGGATGGTCTTTCTTTTCTTTAATTTTTTTTCTGTTGGCATAGCCATATTTACTCTAGTTTTCTAAATAAACCTTTTGCAAAAAAAATAACTTGTGTGGGCTCTTTTACTGAGTAGAAAAAGAACACCTGAGCATCAACTTTGCATTCGTATCATACCTGCCAAGGACAAATATACCTCAATGGGACAGCGCCAGAGGTGGGTTTCAGCAGGTTCTGACCAGTTCTAGAGAACCGGTAGCGGAAATTTTGAGTAGTTCGGAGAACCGGTAGTAAAAATTCTGACTGGCCCCACCCCCATTTATTCTCTGCCTCTCAAGTCCCATCTGATTGGGAGGAAATGGGGATTTTGCAGTAACCTTTCCCTGGAGTGGGGTGGGAATGGAGATTTTACAGTATCCTTCCCTGCCACCCCCACCAAGCCATGCCATGCCCACCAAGCCACATCCACAGAATCGGTAGTAAAAAAATTTGAAACCCACCACTGGACAGCGTATCTTATACTCTGGCATAGTAAGCTTTTCCTGTCACAGTGACAGTCAGTGAACAGACATGGAATTTATTCTAGCAGAACTGTATTCCCATGTTGTCACATGGTCATGACATTCGTGAACAAAGCATGTCATGATACATATGAAGTTATTCTGCATGACCATTACTATCACCACAGATCCCTATGCTTCTCATCTAGCTTTCTGACTAAAAAAATAGGTGTTCATAATCCAGACTAGGGATGATAATACACTGGGGAAGGTTGAAGTTAACTCTTAGAATTCAGAAAGCCAAAGAGAGCATAGTTGCTTTGGTTTTAGACATGTTTGGCTTTTTTCTCTAATAATATATATTGAGTTTTAGCAAATAACAATGCAGAAATAAATGAAGAAAACTGAGTGTTATACAATATGAAAGCATCTGGTTTAATTTTTGGTAGTGCTAGGAACATTTTCTGCAAGGTTTTTTTAAGGGGGAGCAGCTATTTGCAGCTAGTCGAAATTATACAGAATAATTATTTGGCATTCTGATTGTTTTTATTTTTTTCCCCCGGTATGGAGAAAGTCCTTACTTTCTGGAATTGAAATACCTCACTCGTGACCTGTTGAAGATCAATTGGAAAATGGCTGTAGATATATTTTGATTAATATTGACTATATATAGATTTGCCTTTTTTTTCCTTTTTTTACTGTGCAGTCAAAAAGATTTGTTTTATGCAGAAAAATCTCTTTGGCCTAAAATACTGCTGAAGCTCACTAATTAAACTTCTGAATACTTTTTTTTAACAAATAATATTTTATCCATTTCTAACATGTTTTAAAAATGCCTTTTCAAGGACTTGCTTACAAGGTTGCCATCAAACAGGTGTGAATATTTAAAAGCACTTTCCTATTGTTATTTTTATTAACCTATTTCCAGTGGTTCTCCAGTGGCCTACTTTCCCTTTCATCTTTGTACTTGCTTTGTCTGACTTACTAGTTCATAATTTCACTCCTTGCCCAATTCTCATCACCTATTATATGACTTTTATACAGTCAAAAGAAAGCCAACAGATTTGTTCTGAAATGCCACAAACAGCTTTTGCTAAAGCCCAATTATCCATTTTATCCTTATTGTTAAAACAGATTTAAGAAAATCATCTTAATGAATGCATATGCTGCTTTTACAAAGGGTTATCTAATCATCCAGGTTACAGATCAAATGTATGGCCTAATCAACTTTGTTACTGTTGCATCAAAACAGTTCTATGCTGTTTACCTGTTAAACCAATAGATCACATTCAATAAGACTTGCCAAATAATAAATCACATTCAATAAGACTTGCCAAATAATAATAGTTATGGCCTATTTGTACTATCTGGTTTCTATTCCTGCTTTACAGAAATATATCCCAAAGAATTTCAAACATCAATAATCCATTACTGATCAGTTACTGATACCAATGTAAGATTTAGACTAAAAGAAGAAATTATCTTGAGGTGGTGTCTAAAATATCTATTTCATTTGTATAATCCTGCAAACAATACCTTGAACACCATAAAATATCAACATCTACCTATCTAACAGGTCCTTGGAAAGGATTCAATAGGTGTACAAATGCCAAATCTAGTCTGAACATCTGGATGACTATGCGATGAATCAACAATACACATTTTCTGTAATATTTTATAGGGATCAAATGTGTACTCTTTCTACAAACATGTATATCAGTAGAAAATTACCAGAATTTTTAAATGCTGCTAGAGAGCCATTTTAACAAAACTTCAAAATTCTTCAGCTTCTACTACTGAATATAAATTTTAGTGTAATAGGAAAATTTATTAAATACATTAGAATTATTTTGTGGGCGTGGCTTGATGGTCATGTAACAATTCTTTAGGATTTAGCAGAGGTACTGGTCTACCAGGCTTTTAACTGCTTGCAGAGCTCTACTGGTCTCCCATTTATTTTTGCAGGCACTGGTCTACTCATTTGTTTTGGAGGCACCAGTCTACCACCAAACTGCCTTTTACCACTGATTAGCTGTAGGGCAGCCCTTTGAAGCCCCGCGGCAAGAGTTTAAACAGTTTTTTTCCTTATAGCCCATCAGCTGGGACTCAGGAGGCAGCAATAGATTGGGGGTGGGGCCAAATAAAAGGTAAGAATAACGCGTGGGGGTGGGGGGCAGAACTGGTTCGGTGACATCATATCGTCACCGCTACCGGCTCGGCGGAACCGGGAGGAACCCACCACTGGCATGAGATGTTAACAAATGCAACAGTTTACTACTTCCATGATGAACAAGAAGCAGATTGCAAATATTCTGGCCCAGATAACCGAGATCAGGCTTAATCACATGACTTTATAACATAATACTATGGGAATGGAAAGTCTGGGATAACATATGTGGATGTAAGCAGTTAGGAATAAATTTAGATCACAGCTTAAGGAAGTCCTGGTTCAAGTCTTTCTGATCTTCATGGGAGTGTGATGTCTTCCATTTCTACCCATCTGCTGCAAGGATTTACTTTGCAACTCTGAACCTTTTGCACTCTACTTGACCACATTCAGATGTTATTGGCCTCATCTGAAACCATATCCTGCACTAAAATGTGAGTCTGATCTTTAAAGTGTTTGATAAATCTCTTGGAAAAGTGTCTGTTGTGATGGAGAGCAAAATGTCTCATTCATGTAGACAGATGAGTCAGCTCTCGGTTAAGAACTATATCAAATTGTTCCCACTACTTCAGTTAGCACAAATTAAATGGTCTGATACCTTCAGAGGAGAAAAACCCTTTTTGAGGCATAGATTTTAATCATCCTGCATGGGATAGATTTAGTGATCCTGAAGTGTTGAAAAAAGTGAACTCCCAGAACTCAAGAGATGACTTAAGATCCTTTAAATTGTGGCTCTGAGTACCTAGAATAGCTACTATGCATTCTAAAAGTGACCTAATTTGGCTATTAAAGCCAGTCTGTTAGCACAGCAATGCCTACAGCTGCTCTTCCTTATCACTTCCCAGGATGTTTTTTGCATTCCTCTGCCAGCAAGCCAAAGGGGCAAACATAATCTTTGACCACAACCATATAGAATTCCATTATGATGAGCAAAACCTACGGAAGGAGGAAAAGAATGCTGCAACTTCCTCAGCAATATTTCCAACCAAAATGTAAACCATCTCAACAAGGAGAGATTTTTCCCAGGTCCCACTCAGAGCACAAAATGGATTTTCCCTCATCGGATAATAAAATGGATCAGAACAAAACGCTAGATTAAACTATGACCAAGGAATTGCCTTCTTCCTTATACAGCATGCAACTATAGCTATGAATTTCATGGTTATGAAAAAATTATCTGAAATACAGAAGAACTCTGACTATATAACAAATGTTTACTTTTGATTCTGTGATGACTAATATTCAATAAAGCTGTATATAAAATATCGAAGTGTTAGTAGTATCCCTCAGTGGAACATTAAAAATGAGATACGATATAAAATATAATCAACTTGTAACTGATAAACAAATGTACTCAAAGTCGCATACTACAGAGTCTACCTAGATTTCTAGAACTATTCTCAGACTCAGTGGAATAATTATATTTACTCATGTTTTATTTATTTATATGTGATATCTATATCCTGTTTTTCCTGCAGAAACTCACACTGGCACACAGTGCACTCCTTCATCCAATTTTTCCCACAATTACTATCTTGTTGTCTAAGTTGTTGTTACTTCCATGGCTAAGGATCAATTAGAATCTAAGAACTCCTTTTTTTAAACAACCCTGTAATCCCTTAAATTGGGGCACAGTTGGGGAGACTGGATGGAGCTGAGCATTTACAGGCCGGATGCTTTTCCTGACGCCACACAGAGTTTGCAGCAAATATTTTTTCTTTGTGCCTTAGAAGAGAATAATCTGCCACTACTTAGGATTGAACTCTCAACCTTGTAAGTGGGAGGTGAGCATCTTCACCACTTAGTCACCACGCTGCTCATCTGGATGCCTAACAACAAACCATTAAAATCCTCCTAGCCTACATTAAAACAATAATAATCAGATAGTTATCTAGAATAAACCATTATGGGCCAAAGATCGATAGAAAAAGAGCAGTATTCAGGGTCTCCTACAACAATCAAGGAATAAGGGGCCAGGCATACGTCCAGATATTTCACTACAAAGACCTGCCTCTTCTCATATGGGTGAAACTCTCAGTAGATCATCTGTGTGTGTTTGGAGTAGATGGGCCAAATCATTATTTGGTAAAGCAGCCCTTGATATAATAGCATCCTGGCATGACCGGAATCAATTATTTATAAGGGTATACATACTTATTGAGAAGCAAGTACTACTGAGCATTATGGTGTCATTTAATAAACACACAATTGTATGGTGATCAGAATTCAGGAAAATTTTTATTCTGGTTTTGGATTTTAATTTTTTTTAATACATTGTATTTGTTCGTATATGAATATTTAACTAGAGTTTTCTTTATATTGTACTGTTATTATATAGGAAGTGAACGTATACATTTGTTGGAAGAAATGTCCTACTGGGTTCAGTTCCAAGTGTGGAAAAAGACACTGGAAACATGGAGACTGCTTGGAAAGATGGTTTAATGATGGACAGGATCACATAATTTGAGTTCCTGAACAGAAAAGGGTTGAGATGCTGAGAGTTCCTGGGTTTTATGCCCTCTCTGGGCTTTCAACTTCCTGAGGCACAGGAAGAGTATCCTGATTGGTGTTCAGACTCCCAGGGGGTGGGGGTCTTAGCTAGCCTTGCTGGCTGATGTAATCTTCCCAGGTGCCATGTGGTCAGTTTCTGTTGCTATATGGTTCCTTTGTGTTGCAGATGGATGTTGAGCCTTAATGGCCCATTGACAAAGGTGGGGGTGAATGAGTTTCTGCTTCTCTGAGTTTCTACTTCTCTTTTAGGGGAAATATTCTGCCTTTTTAGTATATCCTAAAATATTTCACTTTTCTAGGAGAGAGGTGGGTTTTAACTTCCAACACATTTATATTATAGTAAGATGATATAGTAATGTATCATCAACGCTGAACTAAGAGATTAGAGTTAGTCAATACATCTGTTAACACAAATAAACTGCTCAGGAGCTATACATGAAGCATCTGGAGAGGTGGAGCTGGACAGATAGTGATCTGGGTACAACTAAGTCAGTATGACAAGTTAGGTGACAGACTAGTTACATAAATATTACATAAACCATTTGAACCAATTCTCAGATGAAGGAGTCATCTGGCTTGTAAAGGAATCAATCAAGAATGGAAAAAAGTCAAGGTGAGAGACATTGAGAAACAACTGGAGGGTCTGAATAGGATGTGAAACAACCTCAATTTACAGAGAATAAAAGAACTGCATTTCTTTTATCTGTGAAAGAGAGCATTTCCATGATCGCTGAGCTCAAAGCACATCCCCACTCTTGTCTACACAGCCCAATTTTTTGCTTCCTGCCATTAAAATCTACCTCATGAACTACTTAAGCCTGCATTTTAGTTTGCATATAATTGGATAGTGAAATATTTGCTTTCTATTTACTTTTCTTTATTTTTCTAAGCAAATTTAAGTGATTGTCTCTATGTTACGTTCTCAACTTGCTATCTGGTAAAGCAGACAAAATTCCATTTGGTTTTCCTATCTTTGTTCAACATTTAAGCTTAAAAAGGAAATGAGCCCACAGGGGATTTTCAGCAGATGCTGAATTAAATACAATCAGGAAAGCTATTGTTCTCTAACAAAAATGTAAACTGAGAAGTTGGGCAAAATAAGCTCTGATAGACTGGATTTTGACAGATTCAAAGTCTTGGGGAAGGAAGAGATGTCTATGTTAGTTTGACTAACTGTGTCTTTCAACCCTGGGCAGGTAGTTTGGTTAGCTTATTTTGCAACCATTCCATAATAAATAATTTTAGGAGTTATTGGTGTAGCATAGAGTATCTGCTTAAGAAAAACTGTACAGGACATAACAATAGAGCAGGAGAAGAGGATGTCAAAAAAGAATACTCTGAGTATAGAAAGTAAAAAATGTGTCCTCGTCTCCCTTATAGTCTAAATCTGTTCCATCCCATGTTGATCCATAATAACCAGTGGAACTACATAGTGCAAGAAATAATTTTAAAAATGGATACATGTGCTTTTGTCATATCTAGTTAATGTAAGAATTTCACACAAAATAGTGCTTCTGTAATGAATAATTGTGACTAAAAATATTAAACTAGTAGGAATGCATGGAATGATTACAAATGGAGGGAAATAATTTTTGGAAAATCTGTTTTTAAAAAGGGCAGTGATTGAAGCACTCCTAATCTAGTTAAATGTCAATGTGATGTGAACCTTATTTATACAGGTAGTTCTCGATTTACTCACCACAATTGAGCCCAAAATTTCACAAAATGAACTGTTTTAAGTCAAGGACTCCTTCTATTACATTTTTACTGATGCAACTAATATTTTATTTTCCATGCAGTACTTTGTTTGCTATCATCCCATAATGGCTCCCAATAATACAAATCATTTCTTCATGTAGAATATTGCCTTTGCTCATGGAAATGGACATTCTCATATCACACAATCCTGCTCAAATCATCAGTCTGATATCGTTCTTGTTTTCAAACTTTGCAACACTCTATGCCAAATACTGCATAAGAATCTTATGTACCTCAGGCACTATACAAAATAAACAATTTGATTGTGATTGGATCAAGATAGTTCCACCCATTCCACTGTGGAAAAAAAATAACATATTTTGTCAGTCATAAACGCTTATGATCAAGAAAGTGAAAAAAATAATGAATTCTTTTTTGATACCCCAATATATAAACAGGCAGGCCTGATTCAGATAACACACTAATCTATAAATGTGATTCACCTGGTTCTGCCTTGCATGTTGGGTAAACTCAGCTGTTGTCAAATCATTATGTTGTGCAAACTCGTTCTACAGTGGCTATTTCAATACAGTAATGTAAACAAATTTAACCATTTGTTTATTAAATAAGCCACAATAGCCAGGCTGATAAAATACAATAAGCCAAAATATTTAAGCCCAAACAGACCAAGTTATGTCTTAACATTACTTAAGAATTAATAGATGTGTGGATTCAGTCTTAGAATAAAAAATGAAACAATTCTTATTTATTAATTGGCTTTATGTTCTGCCATTCTACTCTAATAAGCACTCAAGGAATAAGTTTTTTAAATTTAAGCACTCAAGTTTTTTAAGCTCCAGCAGCAAAATAAATTCTAAAAATATAACAATTTAGAAATGTAACTATCTAAATTGGGGGTATCCAATGTTGGCAGGCTAATCAGTGATGGGAGTTGGAGTTCACAAGTCTTAAAATTGCCAAGACTGGACACCCCTCATCTACGGTAAATGCTGAGAGAGAAGGTGCCAAACACTGCTTACAAATCAGTTCATTCGATAACTAGCCAACAATGAGAAATCCCAAAAAGGAGAAGAGAATGGGGCAGTGGCAAAAAACACTGAATTTGGGGTAAGAACATGGAGATGCACATGGGAAGCCACCAGCTGAATATTACAGTCTAGGGACAAAACCATCGGAATCTCCAAAATGCAGAGCTGAACTCCATCATCATCTACTGTGGGTTTTGTTTACTCCAACCCCCAAAAAAGAACTCTTCAGAGGATGGCACGCCAGATGGCACAGTTATATTTTGCACTGTACTTACCAAATTATCATCCAACTATGGTTTTTCTTCCCCCCCCCCTCACAAATCAACTTGCCGTTTTCTACTACATACAGGTACATACTGCAGGTAGTTCTCAACTTACCACCAATCATTTAGTGACCGTTCAAGTTACGACACTGAAAAATGACCTGTCCACATGCTTACCAACAGTTGCAGCATCCCCAAGGTCACATCATCAAAATTTGGGTGCTTGGAAACTGGCATGTATTTACAAGGGTTGCAGTGTCCTGGGGTCATGTGATCACCATTTTTGACCTTCCCAGCCAACTTCAGTAGGGAAAGCTAGATTCATTTAATGACCACGATTCACTAAAAAAAACCAGTGATTCGCTAACTGTGGGGGAAAAGTCATAAAATTAGGCATAACTCACTTAACTTGCTTAGCAACAAAAATTCTGGTCCCAGTTGTGGCCATATGTTGAGGATTATCCATACACTTCCTTTTATTCTAAATTGCAGGATTAAAAGCTTACTAGGGCTGGTCCCTTCTTTCAAAAAATAACACACTAACATTGAATATGTACACTTACTTCTACTAGACAACATGCACAATATTATATTCATTCAGGCCCATTACAAACCATTTTGCCATCTGAGTGAAAGACGACCTGTCTTCCAACATTCTCTGAGGCACTACAGAAACAAGCTCAAATAGTGAATTAATTTTGCTTCAATGCCAATCATGATCTTCATCCCCCATGACAGTCCTGGCCCTGGCTGAAAATTCAAGGGTTTGTAGACCCAAGATACTGTGAAAGCCAAAGAAGAAATCTGACAGTTGGGAGCTGGAAATCTGACCAAAGCAGCTGGAGAAAACTAGGGTGGGAAAAAATGGGTTCTCAAAAATTCATAGCAGGCCATGTGGCAGGGGTGAAATCCAGCAGATTCTGGACAACCGGTAGCAGAAATTTTGAGCAGTTCAGAGAACCGGCAAACACCACCTCTGGCTGTCCCCAGAGTGGGGTGGGAATGGAGATTTTGCAATATCCTTCCCTCAGGAGTGGGGAGGGAATGGGATTTTGCAGTATCCTTCCCCTGGAATGGGGTGGGAATGGAGATTTTGCAGTATCCTTCCCCTGTCACGCCACATCCACAGAATCCGGTAGTAAAAAAAATTGGTATTTCACCACTGCCATGTGGCCCATACAGCTTCCCTCTTCAGAAGGAAATGGGTATTTAGGAAGAGCCTCTCAGCAGTTTTTTCACTCTGTTAATGCCAGGAAAGAGGCTGATTAGCCAACAAATCAGAAAACCACAGTCCATGTGTCCCTTGGTGTTGCAATGTTGCAACATCCACCATTTAATAGAGCCTTGGTGGCGCAGCAGACTAAAATGCTGTTAAGTAGCACCAGCTGCCTGCAATTACTGCAAGTTCAAAACTCACCAGGGGCAAAGTTGACTCAGCCTTCCATCCTTTCGAGGTAGGTAAAATGAGGACCCAGATTGTGGGGGCAATAAGATGACTTTGTATAAAAAAGAACACCGCTTGGGGGCTGGGGGGCGAAAGCCCTACTAAGCAGGTATATACAAAAGTATGAAGGCTATTGCTTAACGCATTGTAAGCCGCCCTGAGTCTCCGGAGAAAGGGCGGCATATAAATCGAACAAATTAATTAATTAATTAATCCACTTGTTACTCAAGTTCTGAAAGGTAAAGATTTATTCAAATTCCGTTTAGGATGTACTATATAGACAAGTCCCTGCAATTTTCTAATCCGCTCTACAGCGTTAGGATTTCCGGGTAGCCTTGAATTACTATCTGCTTGCCTCTTTTTCCCAGATTGGTCTTGCTACATGCTGCCCCCTGCTGCAAACGTATTTTTTTTAAAAAAAAAGAGGCAACAGGACTGAACATGCAGAAGGCCAACCTCTTATCACTTGCTGCACGAGGCGTCATAATTGACCAGCGTTGCTAATAAACCTGCACGATCAAACACGCCAGACGGAGGAAAAAAATCAGCCGGAAAAGTTTCTTATAATATAGGTGAACAGGCAAACGGGGTGAAGAGAGTCTTGTCTAACCTCAAAAGGAGGTCAGCATACAAGACGCCCACACACCCGAAGCACCAAAAACAAGCCACCCGGAATGAACAGCTAAGTTAACGGGTGGAGTTTGTGCCCAGCCGAGAGAAAGGAGCGCTTTGAGCTCCTTCCCTTGAAGTCCCGCGGGGGAGTCGAGTCCTGCGGCGCCGTCTCCCGAGAGACCAGAATGCAAAACACTTCACGTCACAAGGCACATAGAACGTCGCTTCTCCGAGCAGCCCTCGGCGTTTTAAAGGGGCCGCCTGAGATGCAGTGAGAAGGGAGTTGGCGCGCGGATTATGGAAGGATTTTCTCAGACCTCAGACCAGAAAAATCGGGATGATGAAGGCAATGATCCAGGTGCTGGTCGAGCCTCTTAATGCTCTGTCTGTTACCATCGGTGTCCTAGAGAAACACGCGAGGAAGTCACTGAAAAGGAGTATGGTGGGGTAGAAAAGCGGGCGTTTTCCGTGTGCCGCCCCTCAGGGACTTGCAAGAAGCTAGGAACACGCGTGAGTTTAGTGTCACGTGCGCAGAGAAGCCCGGCGGTCTCAGAAAGCAAAAGTGTGGTTATGTTCGGCTAATAAAACGCACATCAGCAGATGAGGGTTTTCTTAGTGGGGGTTTAGCGCACACGGGATAGCCGTCTTTCATCTGAACGTTTCTTAAAGTACAAGCTTAGGTCTAGTTTTAGGAAGCTTCTCTTAAGTGATGAATGGAAGTTACTCCTTTATATTGTAGGAAGAAATATCCTCCTGGGTTCTGCTCCAAGTGGGGAAAAAGACACTGGAAACATGGAGACTGCTTGGAAAGATGGTTTAATGGTGGACAGGATCACATGGTTTGAAATCCTGAACAGAAAAGGGCAGATACAGGGAGTCTCCGGGTTTTATACTCTCTCTGGCCTTGAACTTCCTGGGGCCCAGAAAGAGTATCCTGATTGGTTGTCAGTCTTTCAGGGGGTGGGGGTTTTAGCTAACCCTTCTGGCTGATCTAATCTTCCCAGGTGCCATGTGGTGAGTTTCTGTCCTATAGATGGGTCCCATTGTCTTGCAGATGAGGTCCGTTGACAAAGATTGAGTTTCTGCCTCTGGCCCATTAACAAAAGGGTGGGGGCAGGAAGGTGGGAGCTGCTTTGTCTTTAAAACATGCTTCTCCATTTCTCATCTGGGAAACATAATATTCTGCCCTTTTAATATTTCCCAAAATATTTCATTCTTCTAGGAAAGGGGTGGGTGCTAACTTCCTACAATATATTACATGCTTGTCCCTTTTTTTTTTTTAATGGGAACTGAAGGTGGTGTTCTTGGGGTGGCCTTCTAATTTTAGTCCCACGGCAACAACTCTGGGGAGTAAGAATTTCAGACAGAGCCCTGAAAATTGGAAGGGTGAGTAGATGTGGAACAGCAATGTGTGCGGTTGGTCTATCATCTATGAAAGAGGTTTGGGAAAGAGCTGGACAGAGCGGCCAGATGTTCTCCAGTGCAGAACATGTCTCCATAAAAACATTATAAATATTCTGGGAACACTTATTTGTTGGTCCCATCCTTCATGTTGTCCACAGCTGTTGAGCAGAAGAAATGTAAATCATCCTTAACTCTTTCTATCCCTCTCACTCCTTTTCATCTCAAAACTGTCCAAGAATAGCATAGAGGTGTATAAAATCTGTCAAGATTTCTTGCCCCACACTGAGAAAAGAATCCGGCAATTGCACTGATTTGAAACTACAGTAAGCAACAGAGACAGGATAGGGATCAGCAAGGGACTCAGCCAATTTCATCCTGGTTTGCGGAAATGTTTTCTGCAAACATTTGGGCAGAAAGCACTTTGGCTCACTAGTGAAATCAAGGCCCAAGGAGACTGGATCGAATCACCCAATAAGCACTGTGGTTGAGCGGAGACTTGAATCAATGGCTCCCTGGTCCAAGCCTAGAACCACCGATTTGGTAATTTCCTTCCCTTTTTACATCTTCCCAAGGCAAAATTCCAAGAATAGGCTTTTATACTGTTATCATGGGAATGGCTGAGAAATTTTTGCTGTCAGAACTATAGACACACACATACATTTCATTCTTGCATTATCTGACTCAAAGGAGATTAGGATGGGAGATGAGATAATTTCTGTCAGTGAGATATATACCTCATACATGGAGTCTGTCTCTTGTATTTATATCATATATTTGTCTACTCCTGTGGGTTTAAACCAATTTGAATTTTACTTTATGTGATTCAAAATCTAATTTTTATGTTCAACATGCAGCATCCATAGATACATAATGTGGTTAATGGATCTCAGTGGTATCTTACTGTAAAAGTATAGTTTCTGTAGTTAAACACAATCACTAAACATTACAGATTTTTTTTGCCAACATAGTTTATCCATGATGTATGAATGTACATCATGAAGTATGATTCAGCTATGCAGCATGTGTGGAATAAGAAGAACTTGACAGTATCCAATCTGTCATCCACCACTGTTGAGGGAAGGGAGTATGTGTGTCAAAATCTTCAAGATGTTGGGTATAATGTTTATTTATTTATTTATTGGTTCGATATGCCGCCCTTCTCCGGAGACTCAGGGCGGCTTACAATGCATTAAGCAATAGCCTTCATACTTTTGTATATACCTGCTTAGTAGGGCTTTCGCCCCGCCCCAAGCGGTGTTCTTTTTTATACAAAGTCAGCTTATTGCCCCCACAAACCGGGTCCTCATTTTACCTACCTCGAAAGGATGGAAGGCTGAGTCAACCTTGAGCCTGGTGAGATTTGAACTTGCAGTAATTGCAGGCAGCTGGTGTTACTTAACAGCACTTTAGTCTGCTGCGCCACCAAGGCTCTGTAATGGCTTTGCACCACCAAGGCTTTGTAATGTTACAGTCCAAGGCCTGTCCCACTATCTTGCAGATTTTGACCATCTCTTTCTTCCCTATCCCAAATGCCTCTGCTGTCATCCTTCTTTACAAATTATCTGATGTTGTCTAAGTTATGTTTGGTTTTTAAAAGAAGGAACATAGGATGAACAGATGCTTATGTTTTTTTTAAAAAAGCAGTTCATATTTGTGCGTATGCCACGCATTCCCACCCAAATTTTTTTATTGTAAAAATGGTAGATTGAGTGATAATGCTTCATCCATAGAAAATTCCGTCCAAATTGTTTATTTAACAGAACATTGGGAGAGTTGCATAAATTAGAAGTATGAAATACTTACTGCTTTTTTACATTAACAACTACAGGGTTTAAATATTTTTTTTCTCCTTGAAATCATGAAACTTGCTGGATGAGTTTGGATCAATCTTTCAGTCTAAACTATCATTTAGAGTTATGAAAACATTGGGTGGAGAAAGAACCATGTATTTACCTTTTGATCTTTTAAAGAGAGATCAAATTTTTATTTTATCAAATAAATGTTCTTAACTTCCCACCTATGATTTGGAATGGGGATCGTATTTAGCATTACTTTTCAGTTTATAATTCAAAACCCAGTAAATTCATCCATATATTTATAATAAATGTCTGTATTTACCAGATGGCAAAGATACTGGAAATGGAAGTTCATCTTCTGAAGCTGATAATTCTGATAAGTAAGTGAATGGTAAAAATTGTTTTCTTTTTATCTGTAGTTCTCAGAGTATTGCAAAGAAAATGAATATCCTCCCAAAGCCATCCAATAAAATTCATTGATAATAAATTTAGGCTAAAAGTCAAAAAGTAATTTTCCTGTGCCTCACACCATTAACTTAATGGTATTAGTTTCCAAAGAGGTTGCAATTGGAAGACTTAAAGCAACAAGATGAACGAGGTAGTGTTATGGAAACTAATAGAAATCTCTCACAGCTGCAAGTAGCCAGCTAAATGCAAACACAACTGTCCCACTTGAACTGCTTGTCCCAAAGAATTATCTGGTGAAAAATCCAGATAGTTTCCTTGATCTTTCAAAAATTTACTAGAATTTATTGATCCTTAGTACCAACCATTCACATTTAGACTCTCAGTCTGTGTACGAGAGATAATTGCTATAATTTCAATAGAAAGTGGTCAGCTTTAGTAAGAGAAGTCATATAAAATCCTACACTTTTGAATTAGCATTCTCCTGAAAAGGCTGGCAAATGTTTCAGTAAAGTTATCTTCATTGGTCCCCTGTGCTGCCATTGTGGCATACCTTCCCTCTAAACTAAATTTGATTTATTCTCAACACAGTGCACCGGAAGCGAGTAGAAAGATGGAGTTGCATGAAATCACAGAAGAGTCACAAGTAGCTACAGGTGTTGTATTACTACTGTTTTTGAAGTGCAAGTGCAAGGGTATGAAATAGTAAGCAAAAGAAATTATAACTAAGATTGTTTACCCAATACCATTCGTTACACCTCTCCTACCCAGTTAGTCTTTACAAATCATCCTTCTACCAGATTCATACACCAATTCCATAAATAGCAATTAAAATATTAGTTCTAGCTTCCCTCATTCTGGCTAAAAGTTCTCAACTTTGTTTATATATATCATTAGAGTCGATATGGTGGAAAATGCACAGTTTCTGATCTAATATCTTGGCTTCCTGAAGTAATCAGTTGCTTATTTTGCCTTCAATAATTCATATATAATCATTCTGTTTCTTGTAGGTCTTCCAAAGAAATCAAAGTAGGAGAAATTAATGGTAGTCCAGATAAGAGATCAGATAGAGCTTCTTCAGAGAGAAAAATTGAGTTGTCTTCCCCAAGTGCCACAGAGACATCAACATCAAGCACAGGTACTCTGTCTTAATTTCCTTATAGAAGTTCTATAAGTTAACAAGGCAGAGAGTAAGGAATTTCAAAGCCATGACACTGGTCATAAAGAAACTTCTTAAGTGCAGTTGCATGGATCTTTCTACTCCAATCTAATGTTCTTCAGATGTTGGCCAATAAAGAATTCTATGTCGTGGGATTATAGTTTCTAGAATTTTCAGCCAGCATTACCAAAGTGCTCTAATCCCAATGCATTTGAACTTTCGGGAAGTTCATCAGTTATAGGTTCCAAAATTAGGTAGTCATCACACTTGGTGATTAGAATATTTATAGAAATTTGCCCTATGTTGTTATGTTAATTTGGTAGTATAAGATCTTCAGCAGTTGCATTCATTCCTACATAATGCAAGAAATTTTGGACTGTGTGGCAGAAATGCAGATAAAATATATCTGTATCACAATTATATTAATGTTGACCTTAGGAAGAACTACAATAGTAATAGCACTAGCACTTAGACATATATACGGCTTCATAGTGTTTTACAGCACTTACACTTACTCTCTAAGTGGTTTACAGAGTCAGCATATTGCTCCCAACAATATGGGTCCTTATTTTACAGATCTCAAAAGGATGGAAGGCTGGGTCAACCTTGAGCCAGTCAGGATCAAACTCCTGGCAGTGGGCAGAGTTAGCCTGCAATACTGCATTCTAAACACCACCACCAATGTAATAATCTTCCTTATTGATGCTGGATTCTCCTATTAACTTGGCAGTATGCAAAGAAAAAGTATAACTGGACTAATCTCTTAGCCGAATGAGTACCAAAACGATGGCATTAAAATGAAATTTAGCAGAGTTATGTTGGAATACGTTTCTGTTTTCTGTTTATATGGATGTAGACTAAACTCTATGTGCAATCAAGTTCTTCGTTCAAAACAATGCTTGTAGGAATTTTTGACAGAGCCTATTTGTCTTGCAGGAGGGAGGGGAAGACAGCTATTATAAACAGTGGAGTCAAATCTGATTCCATTTGAAATATCTGAGAAGGAAGAGGGAGGATAAATTTCATTAAAACAAGCCCAGATTGGTTTTTGATGCTATTACATTTGGCATAGGATTTTTTCAAAATCAATGGAATTAGTCATATTTAATCTGTTGGTCTCAATCTTGATCCAAATCAGCTACAACAATAGTAAACATGTTATAATGCTTTAAAGACTTAACATGAATTATACATACTATTTCAATACAACAAAACTATAACATAAATTGTTATCCTGAGTGTTGCAGTTGAAGCTAAGAGTTGCCTCATGAGCTGACAAGAGGATGCTACATTTTAATGATCATTTTCTTGATTCATGAAAATATCGGAGTTTGAAATAAAGGAATGTTGGTAGCTCAGGTTTTAGATTTTGCTCACCAAGCTTGTTTCAATTTAGTTTCTGAACGTTTCGTTACCAGACTAGGTAACATCAGCAGCAGGATTTTCTTCTCCTACCTAAAGAAGAAGAGGGCAAGAAAATCCTGCTGCTGATGTTACCTAGTCTGATAACAAAGTTCAGAAACTAAATTCAGAAACAAGCCTGGACAGCAAACCTCTGCCAAAATACCTCAGTTTAATTGCATTACTGATTGATTTTACAGAATTTATGCCTCACCCTAATCCTAAAAGGCACTGGATATCATACAGCGTCAAACAAACAACAAATGAAAAACAGTATAAAAATATAAAAAACAAAAAACAAAGATAAAACCCATAAGGTGCCCCACCCCTAGCCCTACTGAAATTCAGCAGCAAACTGACCAAACATTGGTTCTGTGATTTGGGCCCATGTTTGTTTGTTTTGCAGTGAGGATATTAAGGATGGAATATTTACTAGCTTCCTCTAAGAGCAGCTGTTATTATTCTTGTCCCATTCCCACTTAATTCCCATAGAAAGAAGCTGAACTCCTTAGACCAAAGCATTGTCTGAAAATCTCAGGCATAACCCTTCTAGGATCATTGCCACATCTGCTGACCTCCTGAAAGTTTGGAGTCTGAGCCAGAGATCATCTGTTGACAACCTTCAGATATTTAGTTCACTTTTCTGCAAAGACAGAAAGGTCTGGGTGGCCACAAGATATTCAAGACAGAGAGATGGGCTAGAAACCATTAAAGCCGTCTCAAGATAAATGACCTATAGAAAGATATTTATATTTAAACTCTCCATAGCCAGTACAGAACAAAATTTGGTTCCCATGTGAATGATGCAATTGTTTTATGAACAGGAAAAACCAAGAGCTTTCCAAGGATATTGGGAGGAGTTCGGAGAGAAAGTGAAATCAGCAGGTTAGTATTTAAAATGAATAGCTGTCCAAAAGTAAATTAGATCATGTTATTAAGTAACAATGTTCCACACTTTAATGATGTCGCTGTCTGTACATTCCTCTCTTCCAAATGATGGTTGGAAAAAGTTGGAAATAACTTATGTTCCTTCTAAATTGTGCTTTAAACAATTATAATTATAGAAGTCTCTTTTTCAGCCAGGCAGCTAACAGGTGCATTTGCTTATAATTCATAGGAATCCAAGGTAAAGCTCCAGGCAATTTGTGAAAGGCTGGACTACATTGTGTAGGTCTAATGATGTACAGTATACACATGGGCATCTGCTGGGGGCAGAGAATAAAATACAACATTAGCATGTTGACCTTGTGCCTCAAATTGCACAACATATATACTTGAGTCAGACTTCAGGACTCAATAGATAATGGTGGCATTGCTCTGATGATACAATTGTGCATGTGGCATCATTGTTGTTTACTGTGTCACTGCTTTCCGATTGAAGTAAGTACATTCTAGCTGGGTTTTTTTTTATCTTTTAAACTTTGCTATGGCTACAGTTTTGTGCTCACTGCTGAATTAATTATTCATGATTGATGTATTTCTTTTCTTTCTCATCTTGACCCTTCCTTGATATGTTTATCAATTTGTTTCTTGGAAGAGTTGAATAAGAAATAAGATTAATTGTGATCAGATAAATATCTCTCAGAATAAGAAAGTTTCTATTTTATCCCACTAAGTATTAAGAATAATACGGGATCTTTGCATAGAATGCTACCTTATCTGTTGGTAAATTGCTTCCAATATTTTGTTTTTCTATTGTTTAAAAGCAGTGGGCAACAAATATCATTTTGGGGCATGATGCATTGAAGTTTATTTGAAGATAATTTGATTGCATGATATCTTGTATCTGCTGAAAGGGAAATATTGGACACCATTGCTGATATGCCTCAGAGACCCTTAGAAATATCTGTCTCAATGCAGACAGATGCAAGTTGGATTCATGACCACATCTACATGAGAAAGGGTAAGTAATGTTGGAAATATATATAATTGAAGACATTTTCATTGTCTTGAGGAAGGAAAACTTCTACTTGTTTATCTGTTTACTCTAACTTTGGGGTTCTTTTCCACAGTATTTGCTATATATACTGCTCAAAAAAATAAAGGGAACACAAGCAGAAGACATCCGAGATCTAAATGAATGAAGTAGCCTTATTAAATACTTTGTTCTTTACATACAGTAGTTTATACACTGCTCAAACAACTAAAGGGAACATAAAACTACTGTATGTACGAACAAAATATTTAATAAGGCTATTTCATTCATTCAGATCTCGGATGTCTTCTGCTTGTGTTCCCTTTATTTTTTTGAGCAGTGTATATTTTGTTACAGAGAGTAGATTATTTGAACCTGGAATCTTTGACATACAAGAACATGCTTTACCAACCATTAGTGGTTCTTCATGAAAGTACAGTTAGCTGTGTACCATAGGCAGGAAATGAATTTGAACCCAGGATCTCTTGTTAAGCACAAATCTTTAATTATGAAATTTATCACACTATATATTTAAATTTTGGAAATTTATGAAAGTCATACTATTTTATGATTGTCTGAATATCCCTAGAGTACTTCAGTTTGTTCTTTGGGGATATACCATTGCAGGCTTGTTGGAAAGTTCTGTTGCTCTAAAATTTGGGAGCTGGACTGTTATCCAAAGATAAAGGAATGGAAGATAACATTGCTAATTCTTAAATAACTTCACTGGTTGCCAACATTCTGGTTCTGATTGCTATTTATTTTCCTAGAAAGCCGCATACAACTTTGGGGTCTAGAGTTCAGAAGGATGGCCTACTTGCACTCAAATTTGTCCAACTGCTAAGGGCCTTTTATATTAAAATGTGTAGAGCTCAGGTTAATGAAGGCCATTCTGAATTGTGGCACCCTGCCTGTAGAATACTTTTCTCTGGGAAGATCTTCTGGCATTGAATCTGGTTGCTGTGTCTGGTCTTACCCAAAACTCTGCGCTGGTATTGTTTTGGTATCCTAATTGCACTTTAGATTTTTTAAAAAATATTTTTGCTTCAAATATTCAAATTCAAGGGCCTGGTGGCTCAGCAGACTAAAAGCATTGTGATTAACACCAGCTGTCTGCAATTACTGTAAGTTCGAATCTCACCAGGCTCAAGGTTGACTCAGCCTTCCATCCTTTCTAAGGTAGGTAAAATGAGGACCCAGTTTGTGGGGGCAATAAGTTGACTTTGTATAAATATACAAAAGTATGAAGGCTATTGCTTAATGCATTGTAAACCGCCCTGAGTCTCCGGAGAAGGGTAGCATATAAATCAAATTTTTAAAAACATGAATTGTTAAACTTTATTGGGAAGTTGAAACACAGAACCTTATTAAATCTTTCAGATAAGAATGCATTAACAGAGTTTAAAACAAGTGTCCAGGCTCATGGCTATCCTGCTTTTACTTTATAAACTATAGTTTAGACCACTGTTTTTCTCACTTGGCAACTCCCAGATTTCCCAGCCAACATGGGAGTTGTAGTCCAGATAACATGTGGTGACCAAATTTTAAAAATACGGTCTAGAATCCTCTTCATCAATTTGGTACCAAATTCTGCTGCTCTGCTTGCTACCAGGTGTCATCCAGTTCTAACAGTGGTAATATTTGGAAGGAGTATTTAAAATATATACAGTTTTCATTTCATACTTTTCTTTTCTTTTTTTTTAATGTTTTCTTTCTGGCTTCACCTTCTGTTTGAATTCTGTATTCCTCTGATCATCCAAAAGCTAAAGTAGAAAGATGGAGTAGCATTTTCTGAATTAGGAATATCAGGGTTTAAGTTATGAGGATATTTTTCCTACTCTGTATATTTTTAAAGGAAAATACACAGAAAACCAAAAGTTTTCTGTTCCTTATCAGGCTGAAAGATGACATAGATAAGGTGGTGACAGAAACGTAGGTGGAACATCCAGTGAACTGGATGTGGTTTAATTTAAACTGAATGATGAAGTAAAATGAGTTTGTGTCTGTGTGTCTGTGTGTGTGTGTGACCTCTTTCTATTTACAGCTCATTGTCATCTTTGGGAGGAGCCTTATGGGTAACTCATAGTTACCCATAGCTTTGGGGGCTGTGATCTCTAGTTTAAAACCTTTGTTGTTGGCAGTGCATGCTGTCTCTACAAATTGCAATCTCATATTGCTGGGCAATTTTAATTTTTCTGTTTGAAAAACTCTGCATGGAAGCAGAGGAGCCTACATGGTTCAGAGTGGCCTGTTTGGAACATTCATTTTCTGCCCAGTTGCTGCCTCTGTTCATTTTCTATTCAACCTATTTTTGATCTTCTTCAAAAGAGAGAAAGAAGAAAAAGAAAGTTGATAGAATTGGGCTGCTTTTTCCCCCTTTTCAGCTCCCTTTTCAGCTCCAAAGGAGCGCCAAGAAGAGGTTCATCCTGAGAATGGTAAGTTGCTCCCCAAAACATCTATTATTCATTTTGAGAATAATTTTCATTTCTATACTTTTTGAATTCACAGATTCCTATCAGGGAGCTATCAAACTGATTGTACATCTAGTTCGTTATTGCTCTTCAGCCACTAGGCTGCTAAAGATGTCTTAGTCTTAATTTTCATTGAAAGCCAAGACATTTTGATGGTTGCTGGTAGATTCTGTGCCTCTTCACTGTATAAAGCAGTGATGGCTAACCTTTTATGGACCAAGTGCCCAAAGCGCAGGCCCCCGCCACACGTGCCCCCCTGCGCATCCACACACGCCACCCCTGCATGCGCCCCATCCCCTTGTATGTGCATGCCCTCCCCGAATGCATCTCACCCCCCACGCATGTGCAGCAGAAACCTGATGATCAGCTGGCTGGCGGGCAGCACACATGCACATGTGCAGCGGAGCTGAACTGGGGCGACGACTCCCGTGCCCACAGAGAGGGTGCTAAATGCCACCTCTGGCATGCGTGCCATAGGTTTGCCATCATGGGTATAAAGGCTTTGCTGTGATTTTTTGGAGCTGTAATGTCTATATATGGCTGTCCTTTAATTTTTGGCTTCTATTTCGGCATATCACTTTTGCCAATTCATTATGGAAATATAATCTTTTAGAGAGGGCAGTCATTCTGATTGAACCTAAAACTATGGGATACAGTTGCACAGCTGGTGTGGAAGTCTGCAGCTAGTCCTCATTTACTGACCACAGTTGATTCTGATGACTGTCATTAAGCAGGGCAGTTGACTCTGCTCATGATTTTACTTTAGCTTTCCTAGATTACAAGGCAATAGGCGCATAATGGGGGATACACATTGAAAGCGATGCAATAGCACTGGTGGTTTGCCTTGACAGCTTCGGAGGCAAAAGAAAGCCTTCAGTGTTAAATGTCAGTGTCTGCAGCAGGTTCTAATCAACTAATTAAGGTCACGTTAATTAACTGAGTTTGTTAACTTGCTCTTTAGCACTTCTTACAAACATGGACTATGGAAAAAAGTGGTCAGGAAAGGGTAGATTCTTGAGGCCATCTCTGCTCTGCATGGTGGTGAGGGGAGAGAAAAAAACAGTCAGGAATAGAACAATAGTATTATTGGATTGTAATGGTAAACATATGACTGACAGTCATCATGAATGTGGTAAATGTCGGCATTGATTGCAAAGTCCTTTTTCATCACTGTTATAACTGAACAGTTGCAGTCCGAGATGGTTGCTAAATGAGAACTAACTGTATATTCTATGAATTATATGCACTATTTTTATAATGTTCTAGAAACTGAATGATCCCGCTCTCTTCCTAAAATGTAGTAGTTTTCCTCCAGGCTAATTCTCCCCAAACTGCTGCCCCAAATGTACTAGCCCTACAATGCTGAGAGTGCTAATCTCTGCATGTCCGGTGAGCACCAATTTGAAGGAAGACCTAAGAGTGGAACCTAAGAATCATATTTAGAGTTGGCTTTTTTTAGAATTCCATTGGCTGAAAATATACCACATGATAATCTGATTAGATTGAGATTGAGAAATTTGTGGCTCAGCATGCTGTGGAATTCTAGATATTGAATTAACATGTTAGTTAGGCCAACCAGACCATCACATGATGTAATGATATGATTTGTCAGGAAAAGCCTGCTATATTAACATAGTCATGGTGTTTTGTTAATTTGAACATAATTCTATGTGTTGTCTGAGCTCAGCTTTTAAGTATCCAACAGTTAAATGAGAACCATATATACCATATTTTTTGAAGAATAAGACGCACCTTAGTTTTTGGAGAGGAACATAAGAAAAAAGCTGATTGGCAGGTGGATCAGCCTCCCGGAGTACCCCCAAGCTGTTCCCAGAGATGGATTTCAGCAACAGGGTCCTTGGTTGTGAGCTCTGTGCATATTTTTTTTTTTGCTTTTTTTTTCCTGCCTCTGAAACTTCTGAAACTGTTTCAGAAAAAAACTTTTTTTCTGTCTCTGAAACAGCTTCAGAAAAAAAGCCTCTGAAGCTCTGTTTGGGGGCTTCTTTTCTGAAGCTTCGTTTCTGATGCTTTTTTCAGCCTCTGAAACCTCCGTTTGAGAAGCTGGGCGGGGCTACATTCGGAGTATAAGACACACCCAGATTTTCACCCTCTTTTTGGGGGGGGAAAGGTGCATCTTATACTCTGAAAAATATATGGTATATTGCTTTAAGATTCAGTTCATACCTTTCCTAATTAATTCTATTTATTGATACCTAGATATCTATGCTGTTGTGCCCCAAGATCTCAGCTGCTTAGACATTTTATGCGACACAGAGGTATTGGTCATAAGTGGTCTTTATACAGTTCATTGGAACCTATTTTCATTTGTAGTTTACCTACCTCCTTCTCCATCCCTGCCTCTCACAGTTAAATAAAAATGGAGGCTGTTTATTGTGCAGTGATGCTGCAGGGATATTCTGGACAAGTGGTTTGAGGTTTACAATAAATTATTTTTTTCTCTTTTTTTAAGTTTACAGAAGACTTCTTAAAACTGTTTCAAGAATCTCTGCAGACAATTTCCAGTGTGGGCCCACCTACTATTATAGCTTATAGACCAGAGTCATCAAGAGCAGATATTCACATTGAGGTAATGGCTCTACCTACCCATATCCTATGCATTACTTTGCACTGTAAATTTATAACTTATTCTTTACTGAAATGGACAATGCTGTTTACCACTTCCCTTTCCTCCTGGATAGGGAAGAACATTTTGGAGAAGGAAGGTGAAGGAGGGGGTTAGGAGAGATTTTAAGAAGACCGATTGTTTCTTCCATTTTCACTGGTATTCTGCTCAAAATTCCAGCTTCCCATAGATACTTCTGCTGAGGAAAGAATCATGTGAATATATCTTATGTTCAGTTTTCCTTGGAGGATTAACTTTTATGTTTTCTGAAGAAAGAAATAGTTACCGGTCCATGCTTCTACAAGTTTACCACTTCAGAATAAAGTTGCCTGACAGAATACTTCTCATTCTTAAAAATTCTGCACTGATGAAAAATTATGATAAAAAGCTGTCCCTAACAGAGAAAGTGGTGTGTTGCCTTCTATCTAATATATTAATTTTCTCTGTATAGTCAGCTTTCTTTCTTTTCAAACTTACAATGCTGAAGTATTTAATAAATGAAAAGCACAAATGCAAGCAAGAGCATTAAAAGATCAATCCAGCCACAAAAATTATAAAGTGTAATAAAAGAGGAAAACTAATCCCCTTTTGTAAGTTATGTAACAAACCAAATAACTCCCAAGTATTTGGCCATAAAATAAGTTTTTATCTTTCTATTTCTGTACATAATAAGAATATGAAACTATTCATGTATGTGGCCTTCTCACTTGCAGTCTGATATCTGAATAAGACCATATCATATTTAAGAATATAGGCTAGCTTAAGTAAATACCCTAAGATACACAAAGAAAATGAGATAGAAGAACTGTGTGTTTTGGATAGTTTTGGCAAATTCAGTCTTAGAATATGGGATTGAGGAGAATCGTATCCCCTTTCACTGTTTTGTTGCTTGTTATCCTTTAACAGCTTTTAAAAGCCAGTTGTCTCTAAGGTTCTAATGAAATTGCAAAATGAATCATTTACAGTTGGTTTTAATCCCTTTAGAAAAAAGGAAAAGCGAGGCTTTTTCCCACTTCTGAAACAGGTGGGAGTAAGAACAAAAAAGCAGCAATGATGCTTAGTGATTGTGGTGCACAGCTGCCTAACACCATCTGTTCCAAGGAAACATCAGAAATAAGAGATGAAAAAGCACAAAAGGGTTTTTCCAGCACCCTTGCCATACAGCAGGATTGCTTTCATATACTTTAAGTATTGTTTACTACAGGACAGAACCAGCGTCATCCATGTGGCAATTCATATTTGTGGTTTTCATTTATTTTTTTTCTGAGGACTGACTTCTCTTTTTTTTTTTTACAAACTTTGGTTAAACATTCCTGAAAGGCTATTAGGAATAAACAAATATCAGGGCAATGTGACATCAGTTAAGGCTAAGTAAAAACACAATTAGCTCTCAAGTTGAAGTTAAAAGACCAAGTTTGCTTCAAAAGCAATTGGATATTTGACCAAAAATGAATGATTTGAGATTTTCTCTTTTCTCCCATAAGCACTTATAGATACTGATCAGTATATCTATACCTACAAATGCTGCTTAGGGGAGATAAGAAAAATCCTCCTTCCTCCCTACCAGTCAGCCATCTTTTCATGTTTGAAATCTGGAAAGAAGTCTGGATTTAATAGGTTCTGTAGGGTTTTGTCTAATTTTGTGTTCAGATAATCGGTGTGTATTGAATTTTTGAGTAATACTAAAGATTCCTGCCAAATTCCAACTTTGCTTAATTATCATACATACTATGCAGTCAATTTGGTTGCTGTGGCCTTACTTGATAAATATTAAATCTTAAATGGTTTTATAATGGGGAATAGGTTCTTTGAACATAACTCTAAAGGTGCTGGCTGTTCCATCACAGCTAAATCCAGTCTCATTTTGTCCTAGAGTCTGGTTTTTCTCATATTCAATTATCTGTACACATACAGACACACATACACACACATTTGATAAAATGTGGGGGATATGAATAGAACCATATAGTCCAAATCCCACAATTGAAATTCTTCTATTAACTGTGAACCTGTGAACAGATTTAAGTGACTCTGGCTCCCCCATTTGACTTTGCTTGTCATAAGGTCACAAAAAGGGATCACATGACTCTGTGACACTGCAGCCATCATAAATATGAGTCAGTTGCCAAGCATCTGAATTTTGATCACGTGACCATAGGGATGTTGCAAAGGTCATAAGTGTGAAAAATGGTCATAAGTCATTTTTTACAGTGCTGTTATAATAACAAAAGTTCATTTGGTGATCCAAATGAAGGACTACCTGTATTAGCATGCAGAAAAGATAATTTTTATTGTGTCATATATTCCCATTTTTATTGTTTATCCATGCAAACAGTGGCTGTTTATCTCCAACTAGGTGGAACATTTTAAATTAGTTTGAATAAAATTAAAAAACTAAATTTTGCTACTTTAACCTTACGATTAAGAATAGGAATCTATGATTGCCAGTGTTTTCACTTTCTCTTCAGTTTTCTTATTCAGTTTATTATTATTCAGTTCTATTGTAAGTTGAGGACTATCTGTATTTCTTTTTTTCTTTTTCTTTTTTAAAATAGAAAGAAAGAAAAATATCCAAATATATTTAATTCATTCACCTCAGTTAGTGCATAGGGAGAGAATGAAAGCAAAAACAAGTTGGGGATGGGAATTACTTCAGTGGTGGGTTGCTCCCAGTTCACGCCGGTTCAGGCAAACTGGTAGTGATGGCGGGAGGCCCCGCCCACACGCCCAGACGTCATCAAAAATGCTCTGCGCATGCACAGAAGCTCCACATGGTCACAAAATGAGCGTGCCTGCACACTACCAATAGCGAACCGGTAGCGCCGGGATTTGAATCCCACTACTGAATTACTTAGTCAAAATTATTATGTCTTGCTGACTACAATCCACATAGGCCTTGTAGTCAAAATGTCAACATAAAAATATGTCTGTGATGTTGAATAGGCAACATAATGAGCCAATTTTTGTGCTTCAGGAACTCCTTTACAATATTCTTTGGACAAGCAAACAGCATTTGCCACTTCTGTTCCCCAGTTTCCTTCACCAATTACCCAAGCAACTTTGCTTTAAATTTCACATTTGTTAAGTAAATGAAATTCTCAGTCCTTCTAGTTGTGAGTAAATAAAATGGCCAGTCTTTTAAACTTTGAGTGTGCGTGGGGTCTATATATCATTCATGACAATCCTCCCCAATTTAATATTATGTCCCACTGATTTATTTACAGTTGCGATATACAAACCTTCTACAATCTGTTTTCCTCCTCCCAAGAAACACTGCAAAGCCCGAGTCAGTGCTCATTTTCTATTAGCATTGCTTTTAAATGAAGGCCATAATGTTTATGCCCAAACGGTCTGCCTTCACTCTTCAGGCACTGGTATTAATCCAGAGTCTTTAAAATGCGGCTCTTCCCACTCACCCAGTCATCTGTTATTTTGATCTTCCCACTCTACTGTTGTGTCTGTCATAAAACTTTCCAAAATGCTCCCCTCCCTTCTTCTCTGCAGGTTCCGAAGGAAACCCTAGAAACCTGTGAATTCTGTGGCAGCCCCATAAAATACTTTCCTTCATTTGAAAGTCTGGAACACATAGCAGAATGGGGAGATGTAAGTAATGAGAGCAAATTTACCACGTGGTTTTCCGTTGGGCCCAAGGTTCACCTGTCCAGCTGGTAAGAGCAGGACCTTGCTTTCCAGCTTTTCTGTTGCCAGCAATGCCGGGAGCTTCATGAGTTCATTGTCAGTGAAAAAAATCGCTATCCAGACAAAATGAAGATGATTGATATTGCCCCTCATAAGGCCCATGGAAGTCAAGCTGACCGAGAACGGGCAAAAGAAAGAGCTCGAGAAAGGTATGGCAAACTGGGCTGATAACATATTTGAGCCCTTAAGATTATTTGGGGGACCACTGAAATCTGATACCTCAGAACTACCTGCACCTCTGAAAGCTCTTCATGCTTCCTTCATAGATCTCTAAAAGTTGATACCAAATTTAATGTACAGTATAACAAAGGAAAATTACTAATTACACAGCTGAAGACTAATAACTGTTGAATTTTAATTTAAATGAAATAAAAGTTTATTTTTGTCCTAGCTTCGCCCATTACTTTTGGGAGTGCAATCTATAGAGTATGCAGTTTAAAGTTCGGTAGCTATTATACCTCTCAAAATGGACCACTTTAAACCGTCAGTTACGGTGCAAGCAGCAAGAAATGAAGTAGGAAGGAAATGTACAACCTAGAATTTAGAATAACAGAGTTGGAAGGGACCTTGGAGGTCTTTTAGTCCATCCCCCTGCTCAGGTAGAAAACCCTATACCAGTGATGGCTAACCTTTTCCGGACCGAGTGGCCAAAGCGTGGACAAACCCTCAAAATGCAATGCACGTGCGGTCCCCTGCATGTGTTCCATCCCCGTGCATGCATGTGCCTCACGCATGCACCCTGCCCCCGTGCATGCACACGCGCCCCAGTAGGGACCTGAAGACTGGCTGGCTGGCAGGAGGCGCGCGCACATGCACAGCAGAGCTGAACTGGAGCAATAGCTTGCATGCCAACAGGGCGCTGCGTGCCACCTCTGGCACGCCTGCCATAGGTTCACCATCACGGCCCTATACCACTGATGGATAACCTTTTACGGACTGAGTGGCCAAAGCACATGCAAATGCGTGCCCAAACCCCCAAAATGCAATGCAAGGGGCACTGCCCCTCACATGCCCAGTCCCCCAGCATGCGTGCGCAGGCCCCCACATGTACCCCCCCTGCACATGCAGGCCCCCACGTGCCCCGCCCCCACACATGCGTGGCAAAGATCTGAAGACCAGCTGGCCGGCGGGAGGTGTGCACACATGCGCGGCGGAGCTGAACTGGGTGATGGTTCACATGCCCTCAGAGGGCACTGTGTGCCTCTTCTGGCACGGGTGCCATAGATTGGCCATCACGGCCCCATACCTTTTCAGATAGATGGTTGTCTAATCTCTTCTTAAAAACTTCCAGTGTTAGAGAATTCACAACTTCTGGAGGTAAATTGTTCCATTTGTTAATTGATCTAACTGTCAGGAAATTTCTTCTTAGTTCTAAGTTGCTTCTCTCCTTGATTTCTTTCCATCCATTGCTTTGTGTCCTTCCCGCAGGTGCTTTGGAGAATAGCTTTATTCCCTCTTCTTTGTGCAACCCCTGAGATATCAGAACACTTCACGTGATCTTGATTCTATCCCTGTTAATGCAGCCTAGAACTTTTTTTGGCTGCTGTAGCACACTGCTGGCTGATATTTAAGCAATTGTCCACTAAGATTCCAAGATTCCTCACAGTTACTACTATTAAGCGAGGTACCACCTATACTGTAACCTACATTGGGTTGTATTCTACTATGAGTTAAGGAAGTTTAGAGGAAGAAAATTTCTAACGTCTCTCCCTGAAGTTTAAATAAGTTCTCCAAAAGTTACCTAAAAGGAAGATGACTCTCCAGCTTAATTCAAGATATAGGCCTTGGAATCCTGCAATTTGTCAATTTTAGGTTGCACATCTAAAGAATTTTAACCAAATGTCTTCCCTCAGAGGGAGGTTGCATAATCCAGTAAAGAAACTTTGGAGGGAATGTATATGAGTAGTCTTATCATTAACATCTTTAACTTATCTACAAGTCCCTATTCTTGGACTTATTGTATATAGGTATTATTAATGCAGAAGAACTGGTCCAATTAATTAACACTTTATCAATCTTACGCATATAGTGAAACTGTAATGATCATGGTTGTTAAAAGATATTAGGGAAAAAAAGATAAAGTAGAAGTAGATAAAGTATTTTTTCTAGACATAGTTATGAGAAGCAGCTAAAGAGCATTTAGAGCTCTTAAAGCATTACTGGGGAAGAAGACATCAAGTCCTTGGCCATTCCTGCATGGGATGTTGCAAAGTTCAACTTGTTCCTTTATACCCACATAGGGTCTAATATTGAAATGCTGATGATAGCAAGATTTGTATTTTGAACTCAGGCTCAGTAGGAAATGCAGTAGAGTCCTGATCCAGGCTGAGATGTGCAAAACAGACTAAAATTTAATTCTAGCAAGATAGTGTTACTATTGATGCAGAAGTCCTCCAGTTCTGTATATTGCTCCATGTAGGATTGTACTTTCCCTGAAAAGTTGGCCTGCAATTTTGGGGTTCTCCTGGACACGCAGATCCTGGGCAATATCGAGTGGGAGTCACATCCAAGAAAGTTTTGGTCCAGTTTCATCAAGCATGCCAGTCTATTCCTGAATTAGCAGGTGCTGGAGACAGTAACTTATGCCACTGGGTTATCTCAATTACACTACAGAATGTAGTCTGTCGTTGAAGACCATTCAGAAGCTGCAGTTGGCACAAAACGCAATGCCTTCTGACCAGCACTAACCAACTTAGTAGCATAATTTCTATTCAAGAACTAAAGTGGCTCCCAGCAGCATCTGGGCCCAAATCAAGTTGCAGGTTGTAACCCACAACAGCCTCAGGTTCAGCCTCTCTACCTACAGTATAATCTTGCCATGGGTGCATAGCCCTACAGAGTTGAAGTGGGGTCAGGGACCTGAAGTATGGCATTCTCACTGACAGCCCACTCACTTTGTAACCTCTTGTCTTATGAGGTCAGGCTAGTCCCCATCTATTATCCTTTAGGAAGCAGGTTAAAACCATGCCCTTCCACAAGGCATTTAGGAAAAAAGAATTTAATAGATGATCGCAAGAAATATTTTTAAAGCTGTTAATTTCTTTTACTGATGCTATGGATGTTTTCATGTATCCCAGTTATAAGATGCCTAGAGTTGTTTGAGTATGGGATAAAGAACTGTAGTAGATAAGATTTTTAAAAAAAAAAAAAAAAAACCCAAAAAGTCCACACACATCATATTTTAATGTTGCAGGCTCAGAGAGAGACAAATGGCAAAACAAATTGCCTTCATGGCTGTAGAAGCAGAAAAGAGTGCACTTCCAATACATCTCCCTGAATGTAAGTTGGATTATTCCACTGTTATTTATGTTTTTGTTACTATGCACAGAAGGAAGATTGATTCTTATTCCATATTCACCCAAATGCATATCAAAACTTTGGCTCAACGTTACTCAGTATATTACTGAGTATAAGACTAATGGTGGATTAGAACCTAGATTCCCCTATACCAGTACACTACCTTTATCACTACAGCATATTGCCCACCTCAGGAATCTATTCATTTTATTTGATGTGATGCCACCCAAATATGGGCAGATCACAGTAATTTAAAAAAAATGAAAACAGCAAAATATAAAAAAAATAATTACCAGAAATGCAAAATTAACTACAAAATAATCACAAGATTATTCCAACAACATAGCAAGCAGAAAGCATCAGAGGACAACCATCCCCCCTACTTTACATCCTGGGTAAATACAGGTAATCCTTGATTTATGACCACAATTGATCCCAAAATTTTTGTTCCTAAGCAAGACAGTTGTTAAGGGAGTTTTGCCCTATTTTATGACCTTGTCACAGTTGTTAAATAAATCACTGCAGTTGTTAAGTTAGTAAAATGGTTATTAAGTAAATCTGACCTCCTCATAACTTTGCTTGCCAGAAAGTCACAAAAGGCAATCACATCACCTCAGGACACTGCAACTATCATAAATACATGCCAGCAGCCAAGTGTTCCAATTTTGATCATGGGATCATGGGGATACTGTAACGGGCATATGAAAAACTGTCATAAGGCACTTTTTTCAGTGTTGTTGTAACTTTGGTCACTAAACAAATGGTTGAAACTCGAGGACTACCTATAGGCAGGTCTTTAAGGCCTTCTAGAACTGGTTCAGAGGAGGAGCCATATGGATCTCAGCGTTTCAGCACAACTTTGCTTATAATGGAACTAGAAAATAATTGTGTAGATAGAGAAAATGAGAACAATTGTTGCCAATTTTGCACAAAGGAAATTTTTCTCTGTAGCATGTACCCCAACAATTTCCAGCTACAGGATTAACAGTAAACTAGAAGATTGTCTAATCAAAGGAATTGGAAGGAGCTGTTTAAAATCCAATCATCTGCTTTGTATTTATTTTTTTATTTATTTTATATTGGATTTCTATACCGCCCTTCTCCCTAAGGACTCAGGGCGGTGTACAGCCAAATTAAAAAAAACATGCAGAACAAATATTAAAAACAATTAAAAGATATATAAATTTGGCCCAATTAAAACTCATTTACCAATTAAAAAACGTTTAAAACATTTAAAAACAGTTAAAAATTTCATCTTAAGCCAGCCCGGCTTGTTTAAATAAATGGGTTTTAAGGGCGCGACGGAAGGCACTGAGGTCTTGGATTCTCCTTATCTCTGGGGGGAGCTGATTCCAGAGGGTAGGTGCCCCCACAGAGAAGGCTCTCCCCCTGGGGGTCACCAGCCTACATTGTCTGGCTGATGGCACCCCGAGGAGGCCCTCTCTGTGGGAGCGCACGGGTCGATGGGAGGTCGTTGGTAGCAGCAGGCGGTCTCGAAGATAGCTAGGCCCTATGCCATGGAGCGCTTTAAAGGTGATAACCAACACCTTGAAGCGCACCCGGAAGACAACTGGGAGCCAGTGCAGCTCGCGCAGGAGCGGTGTTACATGGGAGCGCCATGCTGCTCCCGTCACTACCCGCGCTGCTGCGTTCTGGACCAGCTGGAGCCTCCGGGTGCTCCTCAAGGGGAGCCCCATGTAGAGAGCGTTGCAATAGTCAAGGCGAGAGGTGACGAGGGCGTGAGTGACTGTGCACAGGGAATCCCGATCAAGAAAGGGCCGCAACTGGCGAATCAGGCGAACCTGACAAAAGGTCCCCCTGGTTACAGCCGTCAGATGTTCCTCCAAGGACAGCTGCATATCCAGGAGGACTCCCAGATTGCGAGCCCTCTCTGTATTGGGATACAAATTAAAGTATTCTAGATAGATGGCTGCTAGGTCTGTGCTTGAATACATCCAGTGAAGGATGTTCACATTTCTGGGTATTTGGTTTCATTGTTAAATGGAATCATACCCCTACCACAGCTGTCTTTAAAAGACCCTTCTCTTATCACCAGCTATTCATTTTGATGACGCCATTTTCAGTATGACCCAATATCTGTTGCTGCGATAGCAAAAGCATTAAAGAATTAGGGCTATTCTGTTATTCCTGGAGTTTCCCTTGAAGCCTCTGGGTTTCTCTTTATGTAAGATGCTGGACTTCATGATCCCTTGTTTCTAAACCAGTATCCCCTTGTTAACATACACAAATAAGTACTTTATTATTTTTAGTGTTGCTTTATCGTAATTTAATTTTTAATTATGATTTTATTCAATTACATGTTGCAGCAGCTTGCTATAATTTTGAAAATGCTTGGGTTTCATTATAGAAATGTTTTATTTTGAAAGCAAGTCTGTATCTTCCTATTGAAGGATAGGGCTTTAATAAGTATCCAATTAAATTAGTTTCCTCTAATAGTGTGAGTCTCAGATCCAATATTTGAATTCTGCTGGCAAAAATTGCATGAATGGTGATATAGGCACTTCGAAAGTAGTAGGCAATACTACTTTGTTGTTATTTATTGGATGTATATGTTACCAACTTCATCCAGACACATGACATAAAGTGCCACTATACAAGAAAAATGCCACTTATAACTTTTCCCCTAATAATACTTTAGGTATAATCTTACATGTTGACAGTTGATCACTAATAATCCAACAAAGGAAGTTTGCTTATTCCTTCTAAGTCAATCATCATTTAACTCTTATTTAATATTTTATTTTGTAGACAATAAACAGCTTAAAACAATTTCCTTCTTCCTGTCTCAAGAGACACCTTCTTCAGCAAGAATTTATTCACCAGTAATTAAAGAAGCAGAGATTGTGGACAATACATACACCATCTCTTGCTGTGATTTCACTATTGCAGGTGGAAAGGTAAACAACTGATTCTATATGCTAGAAGCGACTTTTGAATTTTATGTTTCCGTCATAAAAATATGCAACTTTTTTTTAGAGCTGAGGGATAAACTTTTAAAGCAATGTGCTTAATGTACCCATGTCAATTATATGTGGGATTAATATCAAGTAATGGCTAGGATCACTTACAGTAATTTGAATTTTAAAGGTGAAGTAAATATAGCAGCATTTTCACTATATGGTCAATAATTTCTTTTTGTGACATTGAAATTACAATACTTAAAAAACAGAATTTGCCCAGGAATTAAGGAGTGCAAACAGCACTGATAACAATGGTGAACCCATGCCATGGGCATCAGCTTGTAACTAATCTTTGAATTTGGAAACCAAAACAATCCATTTCAAATGGGAATTGCATTTCAGAATACTTTACCTGAAGTGTAAGGCAAAAAAAAAAAAAAAGGGAGGGTATTTGTTACAGGGCCCACTCATTTTCTCTCCTCCCAAATTAAGGCGGTATACTTCCAATCTTTATGGCATCTTTTGGGACATATAAAAATAAATGTGCTTGGGAGTCAGACAGACATTGCTAGCCACTGCAGACAATAATAGGACAGACTGCAAATTGAATTTCTAATGTAAGGCTCCATTTCCTCTCTCATTTTCTTGGTTTAAGCTTGTCATTTAGCTGCTGGCATACTCAAACGTATCTGTTTGTCTACATAACAACATACATGTATCTATAGCAGAGCATGTAGTGCACCGTGAGCCTTTGGTAATAATAAACTAGATTTCTAATTAACTCCATTTTATATAGCAGCCTTATTGTTCTCTTTCAGTATCTAGCTAGCTCTTTTGAGTTTCATAGGGAAACTATAATCTGCATGTTGTTCTTTTTTTCATCAATAGTTGGTGAAAAACCAATTCATACAACAGTACTACAAAAATGGTGTGAAGTTCCTTACCATGTTTCCGGATGGCACTGCACAAATATTGTATCCTTTTATGATATTCTCCTTTTGTGAGACATACTGTGTTCTGTGGAACTGGCTCAGAGCTAGAGGGCTGCAGCAAAGGTCTTTAGGATGACAAACACAACTAATGTTCTGTTTTTGCTATGCTTTTTAGTGATCTTTTTTTTAATATAGCCACCTTAATATACAACAATCACCACAGTTAAAATTAGAATGTCTAAAATGCATTGACCTACAACAATTAAACCTCTTAAGACAATGCTTCTCATCCCTGGCATCTTTTAAGATATGTGAACCAACTCCCAGTGTTCTAAAAGTTAAAGTCCTCAAATCTTAAAGTTACTAAGATGGAAAATAATGTTATAGTACCGTAAGCAGAGGATTCATAGGATCCCTTCTTGGGGGGTTGGAATTAAGACTAGACTACAACTATAACTTCATAGGCAATAATCCAGTACCAAAGTCTGCCTACTGATCTCTGTTGTCCTATTTCTGATGCCATAAGAGTCCAAATTTTTCACAACTACATGCTTTCTGGAATCCCAGATTTTGCCTGATAAAAATGCAGATGACAGTTACAGAGATACCTCATACACACACACACACACACACAACATACACCAACACCCCTCATAGTGTTAATCATAAACTACTGCTGCTGAAAAATGGAAAAGGCGGGTCTCTTGTAATATTACAGTTCTCCAGTATAGGTAGTCCTTAACTTAACAATTACAATTGGGACTAGATTTCTGGTTGTAAATCATTTCAGTCGTAAGACAAGGCACCCATGTGATTGCATCTACTTTTACAATATTGTGATGCTTGCTAAGCAAATTACTGCAATGGTTAAGCAAATCTGGGATTTTTAGGCAAACACTGCAGTCATAAGTGCAAGCCCATTGTTTCAAATGAGTGGGTTTTTGCCAGAAATCAGAAAAAAAAAAAATTGTAGTCATCTGATTGTAGGATGCTGCAATCGATTGGGCAGATGAGCAATTGCCAAGTGCTCAAAAGGCAGTCACATGATCGAGGGAAGAAATGTCAGGTTTTATAAAATCCAGAAATGCTTTACGGGCTATAAAACACCCATTTTTGGCCTGTCATAATTTCAAGTAGTTGCTAAGTGACCAGTCATAAATTGAAGACTACCTGTGTCTTGAACCTTTAAGTGACAAGGGTTCAGGCCTTGAATCAAGCTGGGAAACGGTTGCACATTTTAGTCTGTAATAAAAGTCTTGGCAAACTTGGGCTTCTAGACATATAAACTATTGTTTTATAAGTTATCCTGCTGAAGTAGTCATTTTTCTTGTGTAGTATCATCCATACTGCTGTACCACTGCAAAATTAGGGAGAGTTTTGATATTGGTACAAAACTATAATAAAAGTTCTATTTCTAAGGTAGTTAATCTATTCTGTTTAAGATTATTTGCTGTTTGTCTAGACAGGGAAGATTCATGCTACATCAGTAAAATAGAACCAAAGAATGAATTTAAGAACTGCAGGTAACATGGGAAAAAAAGACGTTAACCAAGATTCCCCTCCCTCTCTCCAATCAGAAATTCACTATGCTATTCATACATTTCAGCTAGCATGTCTAAGTAAGTAAAGGAGTAGGGAAAAAGACCTTAGCTACACGTACAGCTATCCATCTGGAAATCTAGCAATTATTGTTGTACAGAAGAATGAAAATGCAGGGTACATTTGTATAGTCCAAGAAGATAAGCACGAGAAGCCCGAAATCCAGGCAGTATTTGACTCTTGTGGGAAAGGAACTTGTTATCATCCAAACCAAATTGTATGGTGAGCTAATTATAAAGATTTCATTTTTTGCTGTGGGTTTTGTATTTCATATTTAAGTATTTCATATTTAATGGGTACAATTTCCATTACTTCGACATATGCAGTATTATTAGAAACATTCTTTTGTGACTGGAACCATGCTCAAGTTGTAGAAAATACAACTATTTCTAAGTGATAGATGGTAAATTTATCATGCTGTAATTTTCTGTTCACTAGCTTTTTCCTTGAAATTGCAAAAATTATAAATCTGCTAGTCATTTCTAGTGTGTGATTGCTAACATCATGTTGCTTTGCTGCAATTGACAGAAAAGACATGTGAATTTAGTCTTTTCATGCCAATGCATAAACCAACAGATTTTGTGAACAGTCACATTCTAGATATCTTACATTTTATTGTCCACTAAGCTTGGCTTATAATTTACCTTCCCCTAATATAATTTGTATGTTTATTTAGACTTCATACATATTATCAACTAAACATTTGTAAGAAGCTTATGTTGTAACAAATTAAAAACATCACTGTTTTCATTATAATGAGCTAACTTGGTTGCAATTCTGGAAACAATTACATATTACAGGCCCTTTTTATGTATTTGCTTGGAATGATGAGCAAATGAATCAATCAGGTAGATCATGAACCTGTCTTCGTAATTTTTATATAGGATACGTTAAGATTTGTGGTTTGAATATAGTCAGTTTATTTTTCTCCCTTGTAGGATAAATATTACTATTCGAGGAGGACATTACTCAGATCAAGCTGGCAACAAAGTGAAAACATGGAATTGGCCCAACAATTTACAGAAGCACAATCCCCGTGTATCATTTAAACCCATCTTTCTGTCCTTGAACCTTAATGTTGGTGTCAGGATACTCGGGCAAGATAAAATTGCCATTTCTTTTCTTGCAATGGGAAAACAAGCAAAAATCAATGTAGGAACCAAAGTGCAGGTACACGTCAGAGAAATTAATATTTACCTATCCTTACAAGTTACAATTAATCAAGGCGTGGAACGTTTTGGGGCAAACAGAAAATATTTAGGGAAATACAAAAACTAAAGTTTTATTCAAAATTGATCAAGTTCGTGTTCTCTAACATAATTAATCTGTATAGCCATTTTACCTAATTTAAATTAATTGCAACATTGCTTTCATTCCTATGCAACTGACTGAATTTCTGCTAGTCAGAGGTGTGCACTTTGGACACTGAATTAACTTTTTTTTTTCTTAAAGCCACTTGCTGAACACCTTCCATGGCCAAAGTACGTAGCTGAAGATGACCTTCTGCTTTTCGCCAATAGATTAAAGATTCTTCGCATCTTTGCTAAACTGAATAGATATTTAGACTTTCCTGCCAGTGACTGGTGGACTAAACTGGAGCTCCCTTCATTTCTTTTGAAACAGACTTCGAAGTTAATGTATCTTTGTAAAGAATGTGAAATAGACTGTGCTCTGGATAAGTTAATAATGACAATACTAAATTCACCAGTTTGATCAACAGCTGATAGTTGATTGATGTTGACTGAACAGTGTTAAAGTCACTTGCTTGTTTAAAATATTTAATATTAATCTGTTGAATTCAGTAAGCAAATTTATTTGTATTTAATATTTATGTATTCGTAAAATATACTATATATGGGTATCTTCTTGAATGTTTGTCGCATTAGAAAATATAAATATGAAGCAAACTTCAGTAAGTAAACTGAATTATATGCCATAGGATTCAGTAACTATTCATAAAACTCTAGATCCATTTTGCTATGGTTAAAAAAAATCATAAACTTTTTAAGGCCATATTCTTATACTAACCCACATAATTCATCTGCTTTTTTTATTTCTCCACACCTTTAAGCAAAATAATAAATAAAACAGGATGGTTGGGCTGAAGAAGAGGATGCTTGCATTTAGTTACAATCTGGATGGAATTAGATCCTACCAGGCAGTCATGTTTTCAGATTACAGATAAAAGTTTTGTAAAAGCTGTTGGGAAAAAAAAATTGTTGTTCCCACTGTCTGAAATCAAACCATCCAGTTGTTACTCAGACTCATGTCCATCTTTAGGGAAAATACCTAATGCACCTTTATTAAGTGTAAAATCAATAGTGGAGAAAAAGGTATCTTTTATATAAACAACCCTAGTCTTGATATATTAACAAAGTTTTATCTACTACACTTGGAGGAAACTATTTTCTAGGATGTATATTCCACAATCAGAAAATAAAACTTTCCATATATAATGCTGGTGCTGATATTTTCCAAACTGTAGAATACTTATCATAAAAAGGAAATAGTGTTAGTGCAGCAATTAGATCATTTCAGTATCTCAAGATAATGCATAATTGGTTCAGGTGTAATAAAATTCCTCACAATCACTTGACCCCCATTTCATGACTTGTAATAGTTCTATAAGCATAGGTAAATTCCATTTATGTATATATGTAGTGATGAATCCTCAACTTCAGAGATAATTTTATAGAAGCACTTTCTATTGCTATACCATCATCTAATCAAAGCATAGTGTTACAAACCAATTTTTAGACAAAAAAGCTATGTTAATTCTTGTTTATCTTCTGATCTCTCCCTTTCGAGTTAATGGACTATTGGAAGCAGATGTGTATAATAAATTATACCCTCTGATGAGCAGACAGTCCATTGTTTTAATTCCTGAATTAAAACAATGTAATTGAGTAATATGGTAAAATAGCAGCAAAAGTGGTAGGACATATAAGGTGGAGCTGGGACGGCTGTTACTTATTTTCCATTTCCTTTCATCAAAATAACTCTACCAAGATCTCTGTTAATAAAGCACTCTAAAAGCACAATTATATATCAAAATACTTCACATTCCTATGGATGCTTCCCTAAAAGTAAGCTGCATTTAAATCAATGTGGTTTGTTTTTGAGTAGGATGTACTGGTATGAGAAGTTCAATATTTTATCTAAGTGTAATTTGTAGAGGCTCTGTTTTTCATTTTTCATCCTAGTTTATTTTATCACAATTTATTTACTTAAAAACTGCCCAAAAGCAATCCTAAGGAAGCTAACTATAAAAAGGAAACCAAATGAATTAAAACATAAAATTGCAAAGGACACAGCCATGAAAAAGCCCATCCCAAAATATGCCTATAAGTAATAAACTTGTCCTAAATGATTTCTTAAGTAGCAGTAGAGCTGCTGGGGGATTCTGGGAGTTGAAGTCCACCCATCTTCAAGCTATCAAGGTTGAGAAACACTGCTTTAAACCATATTCAAAAATACACCTGGAGCAATTATGCTATTGACTATTACCAGTAAAGTTTCCAAAAGATCCACATGAAGACAAATAGGAGACTCACTGTATTCTCAGTTTTAAAATACTTCATCAGGTAAACTAGATCAATATTTACTTACTAGTTAACCCATCTTTGGGTATCTTCAACTAACCAAATTATGGCTGAGAGGAAAGCCTCTCTTGATCAGAACTGTACTTCTCTAGTTTTCTGCACTGGAGATTGAATATACTGTTTTATAATCTGAAAAACTGTTGAAGGGAGAAGAGGCAGAAATTAGATTAATTCCATTTTATAAATCATTTCATGTTCCAAAGTTGGAATTGGCCACTGCTAAATCAATAGACTTACATGGCTTTATTTGACCTTTTCCCTTACACTTCATCAGCCTGGCAAACTCAGTTCTTATATCCTTGTTGTACAATGAATACACAAATGGGTTTATCAGTGAATTGGTTTCTCCTAGAAGGAATAAAAAATCCCTCAACAGTGGGCTCAGATTGCAGGATTTACAGGTAGCTTTCACAATGGCAGTTCCATAATAAGGGCCCCAGAATACAATGAAAGAGACAATCACAATAAGGATAGTCCTTAGAGCTTTGGAAAAACAGAGATGAGCAGAGGGAATATTTGCATGCAAGCAAGAGCGTTGGATCTGCTTATGCTGTAGATAGGCAATCCTTCCTATTGAGATATGCAAACACACCAAGATCAACAATGCAGGAATGAAAATGCCAAAACAGATTATGTAGAGGTAATCACTTTTGGCAGCAGACAGGAGCCCACAGTTACCTTTCAATTTGTTCTGCCGCAATCCTGAAGAAATAAGTGGCATGTGTCCTACCAAGGAGGAGAGAACCCAGAGGACTACAAGAGAAAGGATTACACATTTCTTGCTCATAAGGGAGGGATAATGAAGGGGCAGTTTCACTGCCAAATATTTGTCCAGAGAAACCAGGAGTAAGGTGAGAATAGAGCCAATACAAGGAGTAATACCCATGCAGATCCTTATAAGACAAAAAACCAAATCTGTATCAAACAGTGCATCGGTTGCATCATCCAAAGCGTCCCCAATGCACATCACACCCACAAGCAGATCAGCAGCTGCCAAGTTGAGGATGAAGACATAGTTTCTGCATGATCTCCTCTTCTTCAACCGACAGACGACAATGATTACCAGTAGATTAGCAGATGGGATAAATATACTTAAGATAACATGTAGCACTGCATAAATAATAGTTGACATCTTGTTTACTGTAAGCTGGTAAGATATATTAGGCTTAGATATGCATTGCATATGCCAACTGTATAAAGTCTTCAAGAGTAAATATGCTTTCCAATCACCAAACTGTTTAGTCACAGCAAGAAGTGAAGACCTAGTAGCTACAATCCTCTCTGGTCAAACGGTTTTCTTCAAATTGATGGCTAGTGTGTCTCAACATCTTTGTTGCCAGTTTGCTTCTCTTGCAAAATTCATGATACTCTTCCCTTGGCAGACATCTGAAGATACGGAGGTTCAAAGTTCTGCCAGTTAAAAGCTTCAGACAAAATCAACTAATTGGCTGAAATGGAGGGATGTAAAATAGTCAGGAAGCAGATTTGTTCTATTTATGGAATTCTCTGATGCAGAAAGATAAGGAAGGAGTTTAACAAACAAACAGAGACACTGCAATATCAGTTACCATTACACATCTAAGGGTGTGTGATTGTTTGTTTTCTCCATGCATTAAAATGATCTTATGTGATGAAGTGATCAATAGATAGAACATCTCCATGGTGTCCCTATTGGATCCTGGGAAGAAAACGTAGTTATTTCAGAGGTCCAAGAAAAAGAACAATTTTTCCCCAGGTAAGGGGAATGGATATTGGACTTAAAATTGAAAAGTAAATTAGAAAACTATCACTGGAGTGCAAGCTTTGTAGCTTGTCTGGGTTCAAGGGGACTATTAAATGAATGATTGGGAAGATAATATTTTCTAGATTTTCTACATTTACAAGTAGTCCTCAATTGGGACCAGAATTTCTGTTTTAAGTTATTACATCATAAGTCCAGTTAGATCTGTTCGACTGTTTTTACAGTGGTTATTAAGCAAATCACCATGGCTGCTAAGCTAATCACATGGTTGTTCAACAAGTCACATGGTTATTAAGTAAATCCAGCTTCTCAAGTGGACGTTTTTGCCGAAAATTGGCAAAAAGTTTTGTAAATCATGATCATGTGACTGCAGAATTCTGTAACCGGCTGTAAACACAAACCAGTTGCCAAGCACCCAAACTGCAATCACAGCACCATAGGGATGGTTTGTGATGTGATGATCATAACTGCAAGTGCATCCTTTGGCAAGTCTATGTAACACCCTGCTTTACAAATTGCACTGGTTGCCATTTGTATGTGTGCTTCCAGATATGATTCAAGTGCTGATTATGATCTATAAATCTCTACCTGAGATAAGGCTGTTTGAGAGACTACCTGTATTCAGCAGCTTGTAGCAACAAATTATCTTTCAAGTGATATGTTTTGAAAGAGTTAGAAGGTACTTCATGCAACGCAAATGCTTTTTTTAAATAGAATCTATTATTAATCTAGATGATTCTAGATTTTAATCATCAGGACAAATGTTTAGGGTTGATCTATTAAATCCAGCCTATTTTTTTATAATGCTGGATCTTGAGAATATTTTTTTTATACATGACCATATGGTGCAGAGAAAAGTGAATTGAGGTAAAATTTCCTTGCCTGAAATGAACGAGAGATTATGTAGTACAGTATTCCCCTGAAATAAAGCACACTAAGAAGCAGTCAAATAGAACATAAAAGATGTGCAGGTAGGTTGAAGGTGCAACATCAAATACAATATTTAAAACACTTTTCTCATGCCCCTCAAATAATAACCTATAAAAGGAATCTTAATAACTATAAGCAAAGGGAGATACAATTGGAATTTACAAGGCTTTTAAAATATTTTAATAGGATATAAGGAGAAAAAACTGGTAAATTTGAAGCAGAACAGATTAATTTTAGAAAAGACCCTAAATTATGCTCACATATGGCATTCTAATTTTGTTACAATCTGAAAGTTAATACAGCAATGTTAAATTTAGGGAGATAAGAAATGATAAATTATAACAAAAATCAAGTATGGTACTCAGTTGAAAAACCGTCTATATGGAATTTAAAAAGTTATACTTAGCTGCCTAAATTCAAGGAAGAGGGGCAACAGATACACAGGGATACACATTTGAGAAATGGGGATTTTATAGCATAGCACAGATGTAGTTGATTTATTTAGTTAATCACATGGAACTGGTTCAACTGTGTTAATTCTAACACTAATTTATCCTCTATTCAAACAGTATATTCATTAAGTTCACAATTATTGCAGTTTCAGATTTTATGACAGCCATTTTGAGATAGATATCACCAATCTTCTCATTAATGGCCACCAAAAGAGATGCAGTAATAGCTGGGCAAACACTATTTAAAGGAGTCTGTACTTTTGGGTTGTTTCGAAACAATTAACCCAGCTTTGTCAAGCTTTTATAGCTTGAAGCTTCTATTTGTTTTTAAGAGTAATTACAACAGCTTTTCACAATCAGTGCCTACTACAGGTGCTACACTAGATCTTCACTTCTGGCCAGTAAGCTCTAACATTTCGGTAGCGGGGGTGATAGGAGCTATAGTCTGTGTATCTGGAAACCACTAGGTTGGTGAAGTCTGCACCAACATCTTGCAGAATTAGCAGATTTTCAGGAATATATTTATGTATTTATTTCCTACAGGCAAAACTGAACAATGTGATGCCTTGTTCTAATATGCCAATCATACTTTAGAAATATCCTTAAAAAATGTAAATGATATATATATTATTAAAATTCTCATGTTTTGTAATTTTAACTGAGCAAAATTATGCATCACAGAGCAGCACTTGTTGAACCATGTTACCTCAAAGGGCTAAATTACAGAACGGGCATAAAATCAGAAACCAATAACTTCCATAGGATTTAGACTCGGCATATTTGTTGCTTCAGTGCTGCTGTGCTGCCACCTGGAGGTTCGGTAGACCAGTTGCACCCTAGCCCTCTTGCTAGTAGTCAAGTTAGATTAATTCTTCCTTTGGCCACTGGAGATCAAGAAGGGTCCTTCCCTAGCCCTCCAGATACCAGGTAGACCAATCCCATCATCAACTGCTAGAGACTAGTCAGCCACTGTCAAACTGGCAGGAAGTGGAAAGTCACTCCTACTCTCATTGTTTTTGACCTTGGTCGTTCTGTTTCTCTGTTTAGATAATATCTCTGAAACAATGAACCACCAGATCATGGATTGCTTGTATTATTTAAAATTTATAGCTATTTTATGAAAATATGGTGTGGAAACAAACCTTATATTTGGAATGTCAAATTCTTAATATAATTAAGATCACCTAATTTAACATTTTCATTCCAAAGTCACATGCACTATATCAGTACATGTAAATTTGGAGTACTTTCAGATTTATTTTTCAATGAGATTAAACCCCCACAGATACAATAAATATACATAAAACTGAATTAAATGGGACTAAGCTGTATTGAAAGACTTAGGTTTTATTGAAGTCCAACAGTTTTGATATATAGTAAAATGTAAAGCTGATTATATAAAAAAGCAGAAATTCTATTTTGATTGGCTATTGTGAAGTTATTTCTTCCCTGAGATGAGATTTAACAATGATGTATTACATAGAATTTGAAAAAAATGAGAAGTTTAAAATTTGGAACAAGAGAAAAAGATATGTATTCTGAATGAAATAAATTATAGGAGTGGGAATATTACAGAAACTTAAACACATCACTATATATATCCTATGATTAAACCAGTAATTTTCATAGCAATAGCAAAATATATTTGAGGATGCAGACAAATATCTGTTATTAGCTCAGCAAAAGTTATAGCACACTAATTTTAAAAAATATACCATGTATGAACATATCACATAAACATGTGCAGTGTATATGCCAAGCAATACTTAATCCTGATTTTAAAAGAAGACAAAAATCCCAAATGTATTTCAACCTAAGTCTTTCTCACAGAGTTTACAGTAGGCATCACATAGACTGAATAAAACCAAAAGGGTAGTAAGTCCACAGACCATAATGAATTTTCCATAACTGACCTGAATTATGTAGACTTTTTAAAAATCTTAATGTATCATTGGAACTGCCTGATTTTCATAAAATCATTTGAAGTTTGAAATGAGTTGGATCAATATATCCATCAAAATTTGTTTTTATTCTTTCTTCGTATACTTTAAAATACTTTAAATTAGTTCTTGTTCCATGCTGCTTGTTTGGATTTTTTAAATTTGTTTTTGGTTGAGGAAGAATCTCAATTGTTCTGCAATTTTACCCCCCTTCAAAAAATAATGTAGATATATGGAAAACTCATTGCAAATAAGTAAACACATGTTTTCATTAATGTTTGCTGTACTGTCACTCAATGTATTTAGGTTTCAGAAATTTATTTTTGAAAACATAATTCTTTACAATCAAGGGTAATATTTGTAGCTCAGGGTTGAAAGGAGTCGTTGTTGGTGCTCTCTGAGCTTGCTTGTTTTCTTGCAGAGGTTTCATTACCCAAACTGATAACATCATAGTGCTAGCATGATGGTAATGTAACGTCTGCAAGAAAACAACCAAGCTCTCTGAGCATTAAGCACCTCATAATTCTTCAACAATTTTGAAAAATTATTAAAAAAACAGCTTTTTACAAGAAATTAATTTTGAAATAAGAGTAGAAAGAAGTATCTGTAAAGCTTGTGCAACTATGTAAGAAGTCAGAATTAATAATCACAACATTACAGGCAGTCCTCAACTTTCAACCACTCATTTAGTGACCATTCAAAGTTACAACACTGACAAAAGTGACCTTCGGCCATTTTCCACACTTATGGCCATTGCAGCATACCTGTGGCCATGTGATCAAAATTCAGATGCTTGGCAACTAGCATTTATTTATGACAGTTGCAATGTCCTGGAGTCATGTGATCACCTTTTGTGATCTCGTAAGCAAAGTCAATGGAGAAGGCAAATGTACTCAACAACCGTGTTACTAACTTACAATAATAACTAACAACTGTGGCAAGAAACTGGCCTAATAAAATGAGGCACAATTCACTTAACAACTGTCTTGCTGAAATTTGGGGCTCAATTGTCATAAGTCGAGGACTACCTGTAAATGATGTTTACCAAAGTAGGACTACTGCAAAATGTCCATTATATTCTTAAAAATCTAGAGGCCCATCATGTCAATGCTTTTGCTTTGGAGACAAGAGTGTGCAATATCCTTTTGCAGGGAAAGCTTTATTTTCTACCACAAACTTTGTCACACATGAGCTCTGGATGTTTCCTAATGTAAATTGATATTTGAGTGGAGGAGGGAGTAGAAACCTGTTTTCTCCAGAAGATGCCACTGAACAATGTTAAATAATAAGATCACATTATACTTTGGAATAGGGAAACCAAATGTCAGCCTATAAAAGACAAACTTGAAAAAGTTCAGTAGCAACATACAATCTTAAGAATTGGCAGTTTAAGGTTCCCAGACTTTGAGCTAGGGTGGTTAGATTTCCATGTTGAGTATGTTACATGTTTGTTATTCACCATCTTATTTATTGTTGATTGTATATTAGTTATTTGGTTTTTAAGTTGTGAGCTGCCCAGACATTTGGAGTCAGGTGGCATATAACAATAACAATAATAATATTGAAATTATTGCATTGCCACAATGTAACTCTTCATCACCACCAACTTTTTTAAACTAAAAGTTGATTTAATTATGATTATAGGTTAACAGTAAGAGTAATAATTAACAACCAAAATAGCAAGTTGTGCTCTCATGGACTTCCAAATAAGACAGTATAATAATAAACTTATTTGCCAGAAATCACAAGAGACAATTTGAAATAGGAATTAGGTGTTGTTTGCTATCTACAGAATTATGTTGGTCAGATATGGTTAGTAGTTGGAAAACCAACATGAAAGGCCAAGAAAGTCACAAACAAGTCCCAAAATACACAATGGCAAACCATTTCAGTATAGTTGCGGAAAAAATACCATTGATATATTAAATTCAACTCAAGGAAAATTTGGCTTTGTAGATGTTACATTTGTAGATGATTATTACTAGGACTTTAAACAGCCTGAAATTAGCATATTTTTATTTCTTCCTTTATTAGCTTATTAAACAAAGAATTCAGAAGATCAAAATATCCAAATTTTAGATCTTAAGTTGGCCTTAGAAAGATACTATCATAGAATTACCGGTATACTGTTTTTTTTTCTTTTTGTGCTATTCTAGAAGAATTTCAGTCTTAAAACATTTCCAAATGAGAACTCAAAAGAACCTTAAACCCATATAAGAAGCTATGCAAATTCACAATTTAGCAAATCAAATTAATCTTAAATCCATGTATGATTATATGCTTTCTGAATCCAAAACTGTTTATATACATGGAGGACATTATAAATAGAAAGTACAACCCTTTTTTCTACATTTTTAACCTTTTTTTTTTGTTACTACAAATGTATTTGACCATTTGTTACTCAAAACAGTAACATGGGAACCAATAGCGGCTGCAGCACATTTGAAAGAATTGTGGCTGGAGCCAGAGTACATTTTGTTGAAATAAACTTACTCAATGAAAACCTTTTCTTCAATGAATTAAAATTAGAAGTTCACATAGTTCAAAAATATTGTTTGTTTTTCAATGTCTGGTCTAAAAATATTATCCTTTAAGAAAATGGGATCGTCTTTTGGATTTATGAGTTTTGAGGAATGCTAAAGATTATGTAAGGGAGATCCATAATGTATATGAAATTGCTTTTGCTTCTTTCTTCAATATATTATTCAGATAAGTTTATCAGGTGATTTAAGCTGATTTACTCACAGTAAATGAATTTTTTTTATTTAAATTAGTTTACTTAGTTCATATTTATGACAGCATAAAGGCCGACTACTTGATCATACAATTTGGGCCAGGAAAGAGACTTGAAATTGTTGAGGTAATCTGAACATCACTTGGTCTTCTGAAGTCATGACGTAGAAGGTAAGTAACTCTGCATATAATTTGTTTATATAATTTAGTTTTACAATGCACCATTCACTCAGCAATATACTCTGAAAATATACAAAACTTACATAACCAAATCAGTATTGTTCGGCAGCCATCAATTATCCAAACCAGTTTAAAAGACAGCCAGTACTTCTCAAGATTGATTTTAAACCACAAATATTCTATAAAGGCCACATAAAGCAAATGACTTTTTCTCAGGGAAAATATTAGAATATTAACTAATTTTGCCACCTTAATAGACATGAATATAAAGAGTTAGATCAAGACTCCACTGGTTGCATTTAATCCACACTAAATTTAATAGGTCTAAAATGCAACTTAGTCTGGATCTAATCAAAAGCAAAAACTTGTAATCAAGTTAATACCTGCTTTTTTTTCTAAAACTGAACTGGCTAAATTACTTTTAAAAAAACTATACAGTATTATTGCACTCCTTGAATGTGCAGTTCTTGGACACATACCAGCACTGAAAGGGATCTTGCATTAAGATTTTCAGAAGGTACAACATGAAGACAAGTAGATCATCCAGTCTGTACCAACAGCTTTCTGTCTTCAGTACAGACCTTCATTTATTTCATTCATGTTGCCTTTGGAAAGTATCACTTAATGTCTGAAAGCAGAATAAATAAAAACAGAACAAGTTACAAGATAGCCTCATAAAGTAAACTCAAAGAAAATCTCAACACAAAAATATTCAATATAAAAAGGATTAAAATCCCCCCAAAAGTAGGATTTCTCTGTAAGCAGACTCTACTTCAGCGTCCCCCAACCTTTTGGGCACCAGAGCGCAACTCCATAGAGGGTGGTTCTTATGGAGACTGGGAGGTGTGGTTTCATGCATTGCCTAGATCTCACACATGCATGGATGGGGCTTTACTCGCTTGCACAGACAGGTTCCTGGCGGGCTGCGGACCAGTGCCAGTCTGGAGCCTGGGGTTGGGGATCCCTGCTCTACTTCATTGCTTAAATAGCCTAGATAAGTACAGAATATAGTCGGAAAGGAAAGATCTATGTCTAACTGTCAGACAGCTAAATACTTTAACTAATATTAAATACTTGTATGATATACACACACATCCCCAAACAAATGAACCATTTAAAAAACTTACAAGAAGTTTTCAGTACTGATGAATGGGGCTATGATCTATGATGTGGCATTTGCTCCATATGCACATTGAGTTTCATTTCATTATCAAGAATTTGAACAAGTTGCTGCATGGAAGGAAGATGCCCAGACTCCAGCTTAGACCATACTGGGACATCTAAAAAGCATAGGGAAAAAAGGGTAAAATATATAAGGTGAAGGAACAGCTTTTA